GACCATATAATTATAATTAATAGCATCGCCGCCGCCGCTGTTTAAGACTTTTTCAATATAAAGTATGATTTTATTTTTTAAAACATTGTTTAATAGAAATTTAGACAAATAGTGTGTGTGTGTGTGTGTGTGTGTGTGTGTGTGTGATAATCTTCATGAATAAAAAATCATGTTAAGAAAATATAATAAAAATGATTTTATTAAATTCTCTAACATTTAATGGAAATATTTTTTATTTTAAAAATTTTTAAATATATTATATCTTTTAGAAATCATTTTTTTTTTGTTTTGTTTTGTCATAGTTGTGGTTATTGTTGTTGTTATTATTGTTTTCGATGATATATTGATTTTTTAAAAGTTAAAATATTTTTTATTATTTCTTTAAATCTATTCACATTATATTAATTTTTTATTATATATATATATTTCTTATTCTTATCCATTTCTATCTGTTAAGAGTTTGCGTATTTAAAAAAAATCCAAAATGCATTATATTTTGATAATACAACTAATGTTTTATATATTATTAAAATTATTGTTTGCAAAATTTATCATAATTTTGATATATGAATAAATATTATTATTAACGGAAATATATATATATATATATATATATATAAATATTAAGTATTGAATGCTATATTATTAATACTAAATATTATACATAGTATAATATAATGTAAATATTATATAATACAATAGCATGAAAATGAAAACAATAAAAATATTTTATATACAGTATTTGAAGTTTAAGCAAATGGTTGTCTCTTACTAATGGACTCTAAATATATGAAATGATAGTTTTATGTCCAAAATATTTGGTTTATTAAATGTCATATATTTATTACATTTATCTTAAATAATTCTCTATTATGTTATTTTATATTAATATTGTTATTATTATTAATAATAATACCATATATTTATTTAATCTATTATTTGATGTGACTTTTGATAATAATAATTATTAGTTAATAAAATATTATTTTATATATTTAATTATTATAATTATATTATTATTTAATAAATATTTTTTTTAATTTAACATAAATATAGGTAATAATGTCTAATATTAGAATAAATTAATAATTTTATTGTAGATATAAATAATTAAATATTACAGTATGCTAAAAAAAAGTAAAATGTATTTATATACTAAACTTAATTATTAATTTCATAATTTAATTTTATAAGTTAAATGTTATTTTTGTTTTTTCTGTTGCTTTTTAAAAATATAATTAAATTAAACTTTTAGTTTCAAAAGACTATATATTTGAAGACTTCATTTATTTTATTATTTGATTAAAGAATTCTTATAAAGAATATTTGAAATTTAAAAAAGAAAAGAAATATATCATTGAATTAACCCATGAATTGAATGACTCGTTGAATGTTTGAATGAATGAAAATTTAATATACAATATAAAAGAAAAATTCATTGTATAGTCAAATTCAATGTCAAATTACTAGGCAATCAATATTTTATTTATATAAATATATTTATATAATGAATTGATATAATAATCGATAATCGATATAATATCTATCACTTTTGTCATATACTTTTATTTTAGTTTTACTTTATTATTTGTTTTGTAATAATTTTTATGAAATCTTTTTTAAAAGATTTATTAGTGACACAAACATTAACTCTATACTATGATGTATACAATTGATGTATTGGGAAATAACATTTTAGAGTATTTTTTAAGTTTATTATTATTTTTAATGACTTTTCATTTATATATATATATATATATATATATATTACACAACAAAAATCAGTAAATTGTTTTAATGGCATTAGAGATACCAATACTTTAATCCTAATTGATATAATCTAATAGTTTATACAATAGTACACACATACAATCAATAGTATACTATATATACTGTATAGTATAATATATAATGTATATAAATGTTGTTGAGATATCTTATGTTAGTACAGTATGTTATATAGAAATTCATTGAATTTTTGGCTCAAATCTTATTGATTGAAATGCTCTCTCTCTCTCTCTCTCTCTCTCTCTCTCTCTCTCTCTCTCTCTYTCTTTCTTTCTTTCTCTGTGATGTATTAGCGTATATAGTATTTGATATTAAATATATAGCCTTTTCTTACTATATGGAGATATTCATTGTTAAAGTTGAAGGTCAGGTATGTGTATATTACATACATAATGTCTAAAGATATACTGTCTAAATAAATCACAAAAAAATAGTAATGTTGTCTTCAACTATGGTTACCATTATTTTTTTAATTTTGTAAAATTTTTGAATTTTTCACATAATCAAAATCATTTTTTTTAAATGTTTTTACAATTTCAAAATACATCGAACATTAATTTTAATTAACATATAAAATAATATATATTTTATTTAATATATTATATTTACATAATTCACAAAATTTTTTAATTTAATTTATTTTCAAACATCAAATTATCGAAAAAATAATAATAATTACACAAATCATCATTTATTTTATATATAAATTTATATATTTATTTTTCTAGTTTGACATTTTGACTGTGACCCAGATTATATTTAAAAATCAAGGTTACATATTTATAAATTTTGATCTACTTATATTTGACTTGTCAATTTATCATTATGATTATAGTTATATAAGTATAGTATAAAAATAAAATATTATATAATACTCCTAACATTTTTACTGTACAAAATATTGATTATAATACTAATATTTATAATAAAACTTTTAACTCTAGAATTTTGGTTAGTTAAATATATTACTTATAAACATATACTGTATATCAATCAAAAATATTATTTATAGTGCTGTATATATTTGTTATGACTGCAAATATTTGCCTTTCAGTTATGTTTCATTAAAAGTTTGTCTGAAATTATATAATCTAATAGAAAAAATGTTTAATCGCATCAATATTGGTTTATAAATATACAATATATAGTATATATATATATATATATATATATATATTATATATATATATTATATACTATACCGGTATATACTGTATATACAGTATATAATGGATTTATATTGTACTACAGAGTAAGTGTTTAAAGATCAATATACTAAATATATTATAGACAGTGATAATAATTTATAGAATTTTTATATATTTTATATAAACATATCTATAATAACATATACAGACAATAATTTTATTTAATTTTATAATAATAATAAAATATTAGAATTACAATTTATTTTAATTGACTCATGATTTTTCTTTGTTATTGAAATTATTTTATAATTTAGATTTAATTAATCACTGGCAAAAAATTATCAACTTATTTTTATTGTACTACTACTATATTGAATATATAAAACTTTATATAAAAGTTATAAACGACTTATCAAATGCATCATCACTTACATTGTGTAGATTATTGACTATTTAATAAAAGTTTAGCTTAAATGTCAACTTAATTTACAATTATTAGGAGAGCCCACCAAAAAGATCAATATATTTATACTATTATAAAAACAATATTATATAAATTAAATGTCACATAATCAAGGTCAACATTTAATGATAAATTTTATAATTTGAGTGAATATCAATTAATCATTGTCATATAATTATATATTCAATTATTTAATAATGATTAAGTGATATACTGTATTAAATAACTTATTTTTCAATTACTAATATATGATATTATTTAAAAATAAATTATAGTTTGCACAATGATTTCAAATTTTATACAAATACAATAAAAAGAAAATTTTATGCAAATGTTTTTTAAGTATCTTTAAATCTATAAATAATAATAATAATAATAATACAATAACAATAAAATTATTGAGGCTAATTTAGATTGTATAATTGCCACGTTTTTAATTAGTATTAACATTAGATTTAAGCTTTTTAATTAATCGGTTTTATTTTTTATTGAAAATAAATCTCATTATCATAAACAGTACATTCATAGTCTATATATAAATTTATATATATATATATATATATATATGCTAGAAATGATAATTTATATGATAATGATAAATATAATAATGCTAATAATTTTATATTATGAAAGTACAGCATAAAAGATAATAAGCGTAAAATAAAACGTATTTTATACAGTACATTTTGTTGTTTTATAAAAAATAAAAAATTTAATTATATAAATTTATGTTAATTATGTACATTAATATTTAAAAGGCTAATAAACAAACCATTCAACATTATAATAATAAAATAGTTAATTATCTGTAATCATTAATAATTTTATGACATTAATGTTTAGTGTCGTTGATATTTTGAAAATTAATTTTTAATAATACAACAGCATTTATAATAAAATGGTTAAAATGCATTTAATATATTACATAGGCTTTATTATATATATCTTTTTAAAAAGTAATATAAATAGCAATATATAAAATCTATATAAAATATTAAATGCATTTAATTAACGGTAATTAATCAACAAAACAACTTAGTATTAGTAAATTATTGTAAATATTGAGAATATTGTTTATCGTATAATTTAACTTGATTAGATTATTCAAAAAAATATTTTAAACCTTGTTAAAATTTAAATATTTAAAGATTATTTGAAAACTTAAACATAAAAAATTTAAATAATTGAATTATTAAAATGTTAGTAAAATAAGTAATTTTTAGAAAAAATGATATGTTTATTATAAAAATTAAATTTAAACACAATATTTCATAAAGATTTACAAACTGTAGATTTATTAATACAGTATTAGTTACCACTAAATAATTACCTAATGATTATTATATCAATATTATATTTAACAAATTATACTCTAACAAATTAGTGTCATAAATAAAAAATTTATAATTATATCAACATTTTAAAAATTAAAAATTTATCAATCAATTTTTAAATATATTTTTTTTTGTTAAATTTTATCAGATTTTAATAGTTTTGTAAAGTTTATCATAATTTTATTATATTTTATAAGAATTGAATATTAAATGCATTAAACAATAATAGATGTCTCTATTGTTTGTATGTATGTTATAGTTATTATAGACAATACTGTATTGCAATCACATGTGAACTCAGTTTTGAATTATTTATTTTTATTTCAAATCATTAATCGATTTGTTTTGTTAACAATAATTGTTTGTCAACTGATTATTGTTGTCGTTGTTGACAATGAAAGACAATAACAACATCTCAACCAAAGACACTGAAACTGAACGGACAATAACAATGTCAGACAAAAGAGACATCTTCTATACGACAATCTTATCGCATGTAATGTCAGCCGACGGCCGACACTTGGCCTGCGGTCTCAAGAGGGGAAAGTTAGCGGTGTTTGACATCCAATCAATTGTTAAACAAAATCACGAATTGGACGCCAAAGCCGAAGACGACGAAAACTTGGTTGATGTTAAACCATTGCGAAGACCTCAACATTTAGTGGACATCGAAACGCCGGTCTATTCGGTGACAACAATTGGCCACAACTCACAGTTTGTCGTCGGCGGCAAAGGTTTGGATTAACAGATATGTTAGAGAAATGGGTTTTTATAGTAATTGTATTTTTTAGGTCAACTTCAAGGATGGGTTAGAGAAGACAACGAATTGACCAATGAGTGGACCATTCATTTGCCGGCCAATGACTGTATGGCCAACACTGTTGCCACCACTGATGACATGATATATACGGGTTGTGGCGATAATAATGTCTACGGCTTTGATGTCGAGACACATAAGCAAATCCATCGATTATGTGAACACAACGGATATATTAACTGTATATTACTAGCAAAAGATGGCCAACGGCTGTACTCGGGTGCCGAAGACGGTTCGGTTCGTATTTGGGATCTTAGATGTCCACGAAAATCGGTGTCCACTTTTGAGCCGTACAAATATAGTGATCTTCAACGGCAAAAATATGGCAATTGGATCGGTACTGTCGAGTTGGTCTCAAACGATTGGCTTCTGTGCGGCGGCGGACCGCACCTTAGTCTGTGGCATCTGAATATGTTGTCCTATTCGACCCGATTCGTTACCGATAGCTCGACCAATGTTGCTGTCGTTCACAACGATTACATTATAACGGGCGGCAATACTACTGGTCTAAACATTTGGGAAATAAATGGCGAACTCAAGTCAGTGTTACCGACGGCCACTGACAATGTATTCAGTATCGCTACTCATCAGTATAAACAGTCAGCCGATACAGGCATTGATCAAGTGATCAGTGCGGCCGGTATGAGCTATAAAGTGGATGTCTGTACCAATTGGAAGTATAAAGATTTTGAATTAGTTGTCTATTGAGATCTTATTGTTATTTAATAATTATTGACATTTTGTTAGTGATAATAATTTTTACTCAAATCACATCATATAATCATAACTTTATATACAATTTTATTAAAAATATATAGAAATCATTATTTAAAAAATTGATTAAATAAAACGTTAAAATTATGATTACCGTACTGTTTATATACACTTGGGTTAACAATTGATTTTAGTGGGCGCAACCCAACCGCCGAATCTTTTCTCTAATTCCTCGGCCACTGCAATAGTCAAGTGGTCGTTGAATGCTTTAGCGATAACTTGAACACCGAGGGGTAAACCTTGAGTGTTGAGACCTAAAGGTACTGAAGTAATGGCCACTTGAAGGCAATTGAAAACTGCTGTATAGACACAGCTTCGGAAATTCAAAAGAGTAGTATTCAGTTTGACTTCGGGATCCGGTTGCGGTGGAAATAGTAGGACACCGTCATCACCTGACAAGTGATCACACATTATAACATTTATAAAATTAGATAATTTGTCAATTTTTTTGTTACCCAATAGTTTGTGAAGTTCTGACTTTAATTCTTCGCCCAATTGCTTATATTTAACTAAAACGTCATCTTTTGGTGGATTGGCGTCAAAAACTGAAACACAAATAGCTTCGAGACTGTGTTCAGATCCGCCATAAATAGATTTCAATAACTCCATCATTGGATTTATTTTTCCCGTTCTGTTAGTTAATTCTTCAGCAAACGGTGTTATGCCGTCCACTCTCATAGAGCTCTGCCATATGAGGAATGAGTGTTCAAATTGTTTTAAATTAATCTCTTGAATGGTTGCGCCCAAACTTTTTAAGTGATTGACACAATCGTCGATCGCTTTGTGTATCTGAGGACTGACACGTGAGACCAGAGGATCATTGATTTCATACATATAGTAAATCTTAAGTTTACTTAAGTCGACTGTTTCATCCAATTTAAGTTTCGTTACGTTATCGCCGAGAAATACTTTAAGGACTGGCTTAATGTCAACCGCGTATCTAACCATTGGTCCATAGGATAACATTTTGAGTCGCTTTTCGGGATATGGTGGCCAGTGATTATCAGTTGGAACTAATTCGGGTGTAGTACAGTGTCCGAATACACCGCAATAGAAACACGGTATACGTGTGGAGCCGCCGATATCCGATGCGATACCTACTATAGAGCCGGCGGCGGCAATCAACGATGCATTACCACCAGTACTACCACCTAAACAACAACAAGAAGTTTAAATTGTTATTAACAATTAACAGGTGGTGTAGTGTCCATAATAATTACTGTCCATACCTGGTATAATAGACTTGTCGTATGGATTGTATGTCTGTCCAAATGTCTTATTGTGTGCATTCCACCACATCAACAGTTCGGGTACATTAGTCAAGCACACAGGTATGGCACCGGCAGATCGCATGTGTCTCACAGATCCGGCGTCATCAGTGGCTTTAATATCTTTACGTGTCGGACATCCAGAAGTATATCTCATACCCTTAATGGCAACACTGTCTTTGCCTGAAAATGGGATTCCCAACAGTGGTTGCGAATCAATTGACAATCCATTGAGAGGTGGATTACCGGCTAATTCATGTTTGACTCGTTTGTCCACTTCGATGGCCTCTTCAATGGCCAGTTCGTAGCGTTCGTCTATTACAGCATTGATATGCGGCTAATTACCGGTAATTGATTGTTAATAAAAAAAATTATATAACTAATTAAATACCAGTAAATATTACATAAAAGTATTACTAAAAAACCACTAATATATGGGTTTTTTCTCAAATTTGACGGATGTTTTCAACCTTAAGATAATAAACCATTGAATACCTCAACAATTTTGATGCGATTGATGTATGCTTTGACCAGATCTTCACTTTTTAACTAAATTTTTAAAAAATAAAATAAAATTTACAATTATATCAAATATATATGAAATAAATAGTGTGCCAATACTTGTCCCGATTTTATTTGTTTAGTCAAATTGACGACCGGCTCCAACAGTAATCTATCGGTAATCGGCGGTAAATACTGTTGTTTTGATGGATATATGAGACCAATTATTTTGGCCATCAAATCAAATACTAAACGTATACATTGTTTGAGATGATATATTACACAAACCATTGTTAGTGAATATTAATTAATATAATTTTATTTAAAATTATTGTAGTTTTTATGTACAGTATGTGTGATGTTATTGACTGCGATATAGAAATAGAAAGTTTGTATTCAATGTATACTACAGTCTAATACTGTATTGCATTGACTAACAACTCAAATGTTAACAAATATAAACATTAATAAAATAACAAGTTTTGTAACTTACAAATTGTAAGTACCGGTAATTTCCCAGCATTTTGCAGTTTATATGTGTGTGTGTGTATGGAATGTTCAAATTTTCCGTATGTAATAACTTTTATTATAATATAAACAATTTTTTTCACATTTACACTTTAAATTTAAAAGTATGGAAACATTTTTTTAATTAAAAAATTAGATTTTTTTTTTAAATATTTAGATGTCTAGTGTCTAGACTCTAGACTAAAAATTAATATTTTCATCAATTATAATCGTAAAATTTACTAATGAAAAAAAATATCTCTGATAAACAAACTAAAAAATAATAAATATTTTTAAATGATTTAATATTTATAAAAAAATCAAGATTATCATTTTTTTTTTAAAAAGCCAACTTATTTTAAACACTTAAATGTTGCACAAAAACAATAAATATCATAAATGCTAAATGTTATTGATTAAATTTTAAATAATTTAGTATTATGATGAATACATAATTTTTTTAAAAATTATAACAAACTTAATACTTGTAGTACAATTGCTACTAAAATTATTATAATTAGATAAGTTATGAGTTAATTTAGATGATAAAACTTTTAATCATATAATTAAAATGTACTCAAAACATTTGTTAGATTTATTTTTTTTATAAATTATTTGGCAATTTAAAAATAATTACGGAGATAATTATTATAAAAAAATATATTTATTAATAAGTATATGAGATTATTATTTACTGATTAAACAATTTATCTAACAATAATGGAATAAACATATATATTGTAATTAAAGTTATTATTGTTATTATTGATATTATATAAAATACAGTACTAAGGAAATTATCATTATACTACTGAAACATTGGAACAACAGTTTGTATATATTAGAGACCATACGGTTAATAAAGACCCGGCTATTAATGTTACCAAAGGAGGACAACACGCGCAACAATACGGTGACCTATCTATTGGCAAACTACCCGTCTCTATGTTTTTGGGTCAGTGTCTTAGTCATAGTAGTATTATATAACTTTTTATTAATTTAATTTTTATCTTTAATTTAAAGGGAAAACTAATCCAAAATATCCAATTAAAAGACCAATGATTGCTAATCCAAAAGCTGAAGATTTAGTTAATACAAGAGAAGTTGCCATAAATTTGCTTCAGAAACGTATTGAAGAAACTGATGATTTAAATGAAAAGCAAATGTAATTTACTTTAAAATAATTATAAATTTTAAAAAATATATTTATTATTATTTTTTAAATTACAGATATGTTGACAAATTAATACAACTATTAAATAACAGAAAACTTGTAGACAAACACTTCGAGCAATACGTTCATTCAATTCAACATTTATTAGGCATTCAATCATTTAATGATATAAACAATGTTTTGATTACAAGACAAGAGCTCAATAATAGACAGTGTTATAGACAACTTGTCGACACATTTGACGATAAATGTCTTAAAATAAATAAGGTATTTAGTTATTAATATATTATTACTATTTATTAAAACCATTTTCATTACAGAATAACTATGTAATGCAAAAACTTAATGTTTTTGTGAATATATGCGAGAAATTAAATGAAACCAATGATGTGGACAACGCTGTCAATGCATTGATAATGTATTGCAATAACAACTCTATGTCATTACAAGTAGAAAATATTGTGTAAATTTGTTTTAATAAAAAATATATTATTTTCAATAATTATTTCTATTAGAAAATAATTTTTAGCTATAAAAATCAAATGAAATTTATTTGTATAATAATTAATTTATTAAATATAATATATTATAAAAACTTATTGCTGTACAAAAATAATAATTGTCTTAAATACTAAAAGTTATTTTCTAAATTTTAAATAGTATCATGATGAATATTGTAATTATATATAAAAATTATATTACAAACTAAATTACATAATTAAAAGTTAGTACTTTTATGTCGTTTGCACTAAAATTATCACTAAAATTATTATCATATTTTGTCACATGCAAACAATTAGTAGATAATTTTGAGAGACCGATAAATTATAATAAAACTTTTGACTTATATTTATATAACTAAACTAATACTTATATGATTTAAATTATTGACTTTAATTAATATTTATTTTATATATATTTAATAACATTTATCTACGTAATTACTTGTAAATTGCCAAATAACTTTTAAAATTTAACAAATTTTGTTTTCAGTATTAAATATTCTGTATTATAAATTAATAAATATAAAAAAAATTGCTGATTAAACAATTTATCTAACAATTGCATGGAATAGACACATATTGTAATTAAAGTTAGTAATACTATTTTATAATAATAATACAACTTTTAGATTAAACCAATGTATAATACCAATGACCTTGCCTAATCAATAATATTTATTAACTTATACAAGTACTGTATCAATAAAATAATAACATATGATTTAATTTAGATAAATAAAAATATATTTCATTAAAATACTTTAACACTACCAATCTTTAAATCCTCGCTTTGGTCTATAATTTTTTAAATATATAGATTATTAGTATTATTAAAATTTGTATTATATAAAATATTAAGAAAGTTATCTAAAATAAAATCGATTTCTTAAAAAATATGAAACAATATATACAGTATATATAAATAGAATATATAAATTAAAAATCTTATTATTAAATTTTTAATTTTAAAATAAGTTATAACTTTACAAAAAAATAATAATAAAATGAAATTAATATTAATTTTATCTTTACTTTATTGTACGGCAAATGCTGTCCCAATAGAAGAATATGACTTTAATGGTACCAATTGGGTGGTATTGGCAGCGGGAGGGGGTATGAGTTTGGAGTATGCCATTGAAGTCAGTAATATTTACACTAAATTCATATAAATATTTTTGAATATATAATGATAATATAGTAAATAATTATTGAATAAATTTAAATCATATTAATTAGGCGGATATATATCACGCCTACCAAGTTGTCCGCTCGCGTGGAATACCCGAAAAAAATATAATAGTAATGAATTTGGATGAAGTGGCTAATAGTAAATATAACCCAACACCTGGTGTTGTAGTCAGTAGACCGGATGGACCCGATGTTTATCATGGAGTACCTAAAGACTATATTCATAATGATGTCACACCATTGGTATGTTATTTTTCATCACTTTTTTGTTGTGTTTTAATTTTTTTTAAATTTATAATTTAATATATTTTTTTCCGACAGAATTTCTTAGCCATACTTCGTGGTGATCCAGTATTGGCACGAAATGGCAAGAAAGTGGTCAAATCGGGACCCAATGATCACATATTTGTATATTTTATGGACCATGGTTCACCTGGTATTTTAATTATTATTTAAATTTTTGTTTAAACAGTATTTTAAAAATTGTATTTAATTGAAAATTATTTGTTTTTTAAATTTAGATATAATATATTTTCCAAAAGATCAACGATTGTATGGCGAAGAACTAAATAATCAATTGATTGAAATGTATAAACAGAAAAAATTTGCAAAACTTGTATTTTATATCGAGGCGTGTGAATCAGGTTTTTATATATTATATATTATTATTAATAATATTATATTTGATTTGATTATATTTATTGAAAATAAAATTATTTTAAATTTAAATAATTAAACATTTTCATTATATTGATATACTGTATAATAGGTTCAATGTTTTCAAAATTGTTGCCAAAAGATATCAATGTATATGCAGTGACCTCATCCTCACCAGTAGAGTCCAGTTATGCCTGTTGGTATGATAATAAAAGAAGAGACTACCTGGGTCAGTTTATTTTATAAAAATTTTAATTTTAAATTGCATTTAATTAATATTATTATATTATTTATTATTATTATTATTATTATTATTAATTGTATGAATATTATAGCCGGATATTTCAATTATCATTGGTTGACAAACAGTGAACAAAGCGACTTAACAACTGAAACACTGGAACAACAGTTTGTATATATTAGAGACCATACGGTTAATAAAGACCCGGCTATTAATGCTTCCAATGGACAACACGCGCAACAATACGGTGACCTATCTATTGGCAAACTACCCGTCTCTATGTTTTTGGGTCAGTCATAGACATAATAGTATTAATACAACTTTTTTTATTAATTTAATTTTTAATTTAAAGGAAAAACTAATCCAAAATATCCAATTAAAAGACCAATGATTGCTAATCCAAAAGTTGAAGATTTAGTTAATACAAGAGAAGTTGCCATAAATTTGCTTCAGAAACGTATTGAAGAAACTAATGATTTAAATGAAAAGCAAATGTAATTTACTTTACATTTATTATAAATATAAAAATATATATTTTATTATTTTTTAAATTACAGATATGTTGACAAATTAATACAACTATTAAATAACAGAAAACTTGTTGACAAACACTTCGAGCAATACGTTCATTCAATTCAACATTTATTAGGCATTCAATCATTTAATGATATCAACAATGTTTTGATTACAAGACAAGAGCTCAATAATAGACAGTGTTATAGACAACTGGTCGACACATTTGACGATAAATGTCTTAAAATAAATAAGGTATTTAGTTATTAATATATAGTATTATTACTATTTATTAAATGCTATTTTTATTACAGAATAACTATGTAATGCAAAAACTTAATGTTTTTGTGAATATATGCGAAAAATTGAATGAAACCAATGATGTGGACAACGCTGTCAATGCATTGATAATGTATTGCAATAACAACTCATTACAAGTAGAAAATGTTGTATAAAATTGATTTTAAAAATTCAAGAAAAATAATAAAAATATTGTAAATGCTATTAATATTTTATTAATAAAAGTAGATTGCGGTACATTTAAAACTAAAATATGGAGTGTTTAGATTAAGTTTAGATTTTACTATTAATAAAATTAATTAAAAAATTGTGGTAATAAAAAAATAATGCATTTATTTTTGAAAAAAAATTGAAAAAAATTTAGTATTTTTTATATTATATTATAGTTATTGCATTTTAAGCATTTGATTAGTCAATAATCAAATGTGTAATAAACAAATTGTTCACCTAATGGTTAATAACTTTTAACATAAGTTTACATTATATGAACAGAAGTCGGAGGAACCCAACCACCAAAACGTCGTTCAAATTCTTCGGCGACAGAGATAGTCAAGTGATCGTTGAGTCCTTTGGCAATCACTTGTATACCAAGTGGTACACCATTAGAGCCCAGTCCTAACGGTATTTGTGTGGCACAGACACGCAAACAGTTGAATATTCCGGTATACATCACGTTTTTAAAGCATAGTAATGTTGAATTGGTTTTAACATAACTGTCCGGATGGGTTGGGCATAATAAGACACCATTGTCACCTATGTTAATATATTTTAATAATAATATATATATATATATCAGTCATTTGATTAATTTCAAATATAATACCTAAGCTTTGGTGCAATTCTGTGGTCAACTCGACGGCCATCTTCTGATATTTCTGTAGCTCTTCATCTGATGGTGTGTTACCTTCAATAGCGGCCACAACTAATGATTCAATGGTGTGATTAGATCCACCGAAAATTGATTTAATAATTTCAATGTAAGGGTTTATGCGACCGTTTCGATTGGTTAGCTCTTCACTGAAAAGTGGCACTCCTTTAGTCTTCATACAAGCAAACCATATGTTAAATGAATGTTTAAATTTGTCTAATTTTAGTTCTTCAGTAACGGCACCTAAACTTTTCAAATGTCTTAAACAGTCGTCTAATGTACGACGAGTCTCGTTGCTAACCGGAGTCATATCGGGATCAGGTATTTCATACATGTAATATACTTTAAGTTTACTCAGATCTACAGTTTCATCTAATTTTAGTTTAGACACATCATTCCCAATGAACACTTTGAGTGCGGGTTTAATATCACTGGCGTAGCGAACCATTGGTCCGTATGAAAGCATTTTAAGTCGATCGGCAACAAATGGTGGCCAATGACCGTCCATTACTCCCACTTCGGGTGTTGTAAAGTGTCCGAAAACACCGTTAAAAAATGCGGGAATTCGAGTTGAGCCGCCTATGTCTGAGGCTATGCCTAATACCGAACCGACCGACGATATTAGCACACCGTTACCGCCAGTGCTCCCACCTATTCATTGATTATCAATATTTAATTTTTTCTATATCTAAAATACAAAAAAAAAATTTTTAATACCAGTGACTATAGATTTGTCGTACGGATTGTATGATTGTCCAAAAACTTTATTCCTGGTGTGCCACCACATCATCAATTCGGGTACATTTGTAGTACATATGGGTATAGCACCGGCAGCTTTTAAATTTGTCACTACTGTCGCATCTTCGTCGGCCACAATATCCTTGCGGGCAACCAAACCGCACACCGATTTCATTCCTTTAATAGATATGCCGTCTTTACCCGAAAACGGGATTCCCAACAGTGGTTGCGTATGAATGGAGACACCAGTAAGCGGTGAATTGCCGTCCAATTCATGTCTGACCCGTTTGTCCACTTCGATGGCCGCTTTAATAGCATTTTCATAGCATTGATCGGCCACTGCATTGACGTGCGGCTAATTAAATAATTAATAAAAAATTCGTTTATAATTACATTAATAGATTTAATTTTGAAATTGTTTTCTATTTTTACTTTATTGCATACTTAATAATTTATCAAACTATACACAACTATATTTTTTTATTGCCAATAAAATTTTATAATATAATAATAATATGATAATAATTTATGTATTTTACTTTATTAAGTAATTTGTGTTTAAGTTAATTACTAATTATTATGGATTTTATGTTTGTTTCTAAGTCTACATTATACATTAAAATATAAATTAATACTAAAATAATAATCAAAAAATTATCCATAGATATTATAAACTATATAGTATATACTTAATTAATATCATATATCAGATATTATATACAGTATATTATAAACTTTAGACATCACTAATCAAATATTTGAAAAATATTTTTTTTAAATATTTTCAATAGATTTAATGTGTGTTTATCTCTATTATACAGACTGAATGTCACAGTTTTTTTACTAATTTTTAATTTTTGACTTCAAATTCAAAATAAAAAGTAGAATATGATTTAATTTTTCAAAAATATCTTATTTTTCAGCTAAATTGGTATCAATGGCTGACAAAAAAATTTTTTTAGATAAAATATTTTAGTGAATAAATGAATGTGAAAATGAGTTAGTATTAAGTGGGTGTGGGTAGATAAGAGTGGGTAATAAATTAGATGATCAGCAACAAATTTGTGTTAATGTAGTTAAGTTAGATAAAACATTTTAGACACAACACTAAAGTATAATTTTTAGGTTTAATGGTATAATTTAATGTTTTTTTCAATAAATTAAATATTTTTCAAATTAATTATATAACTTTATAAATAAATAAATAATGTATAATTTTATAGCAAATTTTATATAATATTTTAATTAATAATTAATACCTGAATTAATTTGATGCGATTAATATAAGCATTGATTAGATCTTCGCTTTTTAACTGTTTTAATAGTATTAAAATAAAAAAAACAAATATTTTGTAAAAAAAACAAATTATTGATATATTTATTTATATGGTTTGATGTTTGCAATTACATGTCCAGATTTTATCCGTTTAACTAAATTGACCGCCGGTTCCAACAATAGTCGATCGGTAATCGCCGGTAAATATCGTTGATGTGATGGCATAAATAGTGCCAATAATTTAATAATTAAGTCTAATATTATACGCAATAAACGATGAATAAAATATGTCATATCCATTGTTGTGATGTTTTTTACAATTATTATTAATATATTAAGTTAATACTGGAAATCAATAATTAGAAATTATATATCATATAATTTATAATATATATATATATATTATATGTATTTGAATAACAACTTTTGAAACATAAATTAACTCATAGACTGACAGTACATAATAATAATTTATTATTGTTATTGTTAACAAAATTTTGTAATACACAATCTTTTTTCCTAATAATTGAGATTATAATAAAAAAATTCAATATTATTAATAATTTGTCTAATAATGCACAGTAACAACACTATTAAAATAATAATAATTATTAGTAGTATATTAAACTTTAATTATGTTAGTTTTAATTAGTATTTAAGTATATTTAACTAATTTTAAGAAAATAATGATTTTTTCCACAATAAAAAAACTCAGACACAGTTATGGAAAAAAATTATTACTAAAATTTTATTTGAGTGCATCAATGTTGGCAATGTACCTCTCTCATTAATACTAACAAAATAACATAAATTCAAGGCAACTATCATATCAAAAGTCTAAATACAAGTATAACTAATGTATACTAAAGTAAATACTGTATTAATGTATATAATTTATAGTGCTATGCACTCAAATGTATTTGACTGGGATTGGGATACTTTCAAGGATATAAAAATAGTTGACAATAATATATAATGTTATATACAGGATTATATGAAAGTAATATTACTATTATATAATATTAACTATTATTTTGCAAATGCAAAAAACTATAAAAATTATATTTTATATTATTGTGTTGTTATGGTTTAAAAAATATAATGTATAAATAGTAAAATTAGACTATAATAAAGTACCAATAAATTATTTACAAACAAAATAAATTGTTAAATTATTAGATTTAACATGAAAATGCAATTAGATTTTGTTGTTAAATGTTTAGTTATCTTAAATCATTAGTACTGTAAATATTTGCATAGCAAACATGACCAAGCCATTGTGTAATTGACCATGATGATTTACCACTACAAAATATAATCAATGTTAATATTGATATTATATTCTTTAAAAAACATAATATTAATAAAAAAATTCAATTATTTTAATATGCAAATAACTTTAAGACATTCGTATAATAAAAATATATTAAACATATTTATTATTATTATTAAACTAATAAGATATTTAAGATTGTAAGATATTTAAATCATAAAACATTAAAAATATTATTATTAGGTATAATAAACTTACAAATTATAGTTATATAATAGATATTAAGATAATGTATATTTGATATATTATATGCATTTTATAATTATTCAAATTTATTGCATAAACAGTACTGTCAGTGCATGTGTTTAGGCCTATTCTATAGCATACTCCCTAAGCGGTAACCGTTAATACAGCGCCCTAAGTGGCAATGCATTACATACCTGTTTGTATAAATACCTGAATAGTGATTGTATGTGTGTGTGTGTGTTGTCATAACATACCTGTGCACCAAACACAACATCCCAGTTCTCTCTTTACATATAATATTATAGCAATAGAGACGTATTCTGTGTATATAATAGTAATAATAATAATAATTTCTTTGAAACACATGAGACACACCTATTTATTTGTGTTGTTATGTATGACCATTGAATTAATAATAAAACACAAAAAATAATAATATTTTGACTAAAAATATATCCAAAATTAATGAAAAAATCATTTCTACAATAATATATAAATTATGATGATGATAAATTCATAAATTATCAGTGTGCTACATTTTATTTTTTAAAATAAAAATAAATAAATTTTGTAACAGTTATCATAATGATGTAAACCAAATAAAATAATAATAATTTTGTAAATGTTAATTAATTAACTCTCAATTTTTTTATATATCAAATATACAATTTCATAAATATTTTTTACATTTGATATCATCATCAATATTTGGTTAATAAATTTTGTTAGCTATAGTTAAAAACAGCATTATCTTTTTTTATATTGAAAATTTTTACACAAAATTGTATTTAGCAATACAACTAATTTTTTTTATCATTTTTATATGTTGTAACATATTTCATATGTGTTAAATTGTGTGAAAGGTTAATTTTTTAAATAAGTAATTAAAATCAAATTCAATTTAAATGTGATTATATTGATTGCAACCTAAATGTCCTGTTTTTGAAACCAAAAAAAATGTCATTAAATTATTTGCAAATCAAGTCATCATCTCTTTTATTATTATTATTATTATTGTTATTAATATTGTTATCCATTGTTAGCGTTAAATGTAAGTAAATTAAAATACCAATTGATTGTAATAATAATATTAATCTTATATTACATATCTATTACATAAATAGGTGACAATTATTGCAACTATGAGCTAATAGGCCGGACGTCCGCCCAATTGAGTGCCTCATCACAAATTAGTGCCGATAAGGCACCCAAATATGCTGTACTTCACGGTAGGCATCAATTTATTTATAATTATTATTATAAATACCCAAAATTATAATAATTGACAAATATTACTGTATTATATAATTGTAATGTTAATGATATGTTTGTCATAAAGTATATCCATTTCAACAAATTTATTTAATTAGCATAAAGTTTATACAATAAAATCACTTGAAAATAATAAACAATATAATATTACTTATATAATATACAATATATCAAAAACAAAATATTTGTATTAATATCTCTTATTTCAAATAATTTTATTTGACACTTAATTTATTAACTTATAAACTGAATTTGATAAATTATTACAATTACAATATATTTTATTGATTAGAAATATGATATAAATAATAGTTTATTGAATTTCAATATTTGTTTATCAATAATACCACATTATGTGATCCACATATTTTATCATTTGTATTATATAATAAGTATTTAATATACTATTATTTTGCTATCAAATAATTTCAAGTGCAATGATAATAATACATGTGGTAAATATTTGAGATAAATTATATAGCAATTAATTTTATTAACTGATAATTTAAAAAAAAAATTGTAAATTTTTTACTAACAATACCCGACGGGTTGGTTGTCATATATAAATATATTACTGACCAAACAGAGGGATCAGTTTGGACGGCCGGACAAAACGACTTTTCCCAGTACTTGCAAATCGATTTGGGAAAACAATACAATATATCTGCCATCGGATCCCAAGGCAGACAACACACACAAGAGTTTGTCCAGGAATTCAAGTTAGAGACCGGCATCGATGGACACGATTTTTCAGTCTATAGGGACAGAAACGGCAACATTAAGGTTACCACCAATTGATAACAGTCTAGTTTCCGTGTCTTTTGTTTGACCACTAATTTGTGGCTAAAAATTACTCTTATATATTGTTTGGGTGATGGATACTAACTAACTAATACATGATTAATGTGACCAAAACTAATGGCAAAACTTAATATATTTATTTAACATTATTAACAAATCACTTATTAACTTACCGTAACACTTAATGCACAATATTTTTTTAATTAATATTTAAATTTTTTAATATAAAAAAATTAAAACAAATTGCTGTTAACTTAAAACTTAACAATTATTAACAAACTGATCACTACTACAATTAGGTCCTTCCTGTTGGACAGCAGTAAGTGGTGACTATTTGCAGCACTTGACTATTGATTTGGGAAATATCTATAACTTGACAGCAATAGCAACTCAGGGCCGGTCTTTCACTAATGAATATATTAGCGCTTATTATCTTCTAGTCAGTGATGGCGGAGACTTCTGGAGAATGGCCTACTCTGACTCTGAAGGCTATGACCAGGCATTCAATTACTACTTAATTACTAACACTTTCAATGCATCTCTTTTTTTATTATCCTTTTACGATATAACTTATACTTTTAATTTATCCATATTTTCTAAATTTTATTTAATTTTTTTTTTAATTTAAGTTTGTTTTAAATTTTATAGAGTATTATGTTTTATAATTTTATTCGATATATTTTCTTAATGATTAATAAATGTTAATTTTTAATCAAATATTTAATTTAAAAATAGCTATTCAAAGGCAACAATGATGGTAACAATGTAGTCATCAATCGGTTTGATCCACCGATTATTGCTCAATATATACGAATCAATCCGACCCGTTGGAGGGATAGGATCTCAATGAGAATCCAATTATATGGATGCGATTATCGTAAATAATTTTATATTATTATTATTACTGTATTAAAGTGTTATATTTTAATTTCAATTATCAATATTATCATTAGATGCCATTCCACTGCATTTTGACGGCCAATCATTGATACTGATGGACCTTAAGAAGCGACCCATCGATGGTTCATACGATGATGTGTTTCGGTTTCGTTTCCGAACCAATGCGGCCAACGGCAACATATTGTACAGTCGGGGAACTCAGGGAGACTTTATGGCACTCCAGTTGTTTCAAAACAAAATGGTCTTTTCAATTGATTTGGGCGGCGGTGGTCTTATTGAAGAGATATCGGCCGGCAGTCTACTCGATGACAATCTCTGGCACGATGTCCTTATTTCACGCCGCGGTCGTGACGTACTGTTTAGTGTCGACCGGGTATTGGTTCGCCATTATCTCAAAAGTGATTACATGCGCCTGAATCTCAATCACGATCTGTTCATCGGTGGTATTCCCATCAAAATTGATAATCCAATGAATACTAGAGAAAATTTTAGCGGTTGTATTGAAAATCTGACATTTAATTCAACAAACATTGCATATGAAATACAAATGGATGAAAGAAACTTTGTCTACGGAAAGTTGGGTCAAATACAGTACTCATGTTTGGTATGACTCTCTAACAACTTAAACATAGTCTAAGTTTGAAATAATTAACAAAATTTAATGAACAGTTTCCTCAAGTGGTTCCCATAACATTCAATACGGGAGAATCGTATATAAAAGTTGAGGGTTTTATGGTACCATTTATGAACACTAGTTTTGATTTTCGCACATTCAATGAGGACGGCCTACTATTGTACCATAAGTTTTCCAGTTCTGGCTTTGTTATGGTATATAAATTATATCATTAGATCAAATAAATAATCAGATTGATCTAGGTTACTAATCAAAATTTTTGAATTTTATTGAACAGCTATTTTTAGAAAAAGGCAAAATTGTGATCAAATTTCAAGGTTCAAACACACCGGTAGTTCAGTTGGATCCGTTCGACCAGAAGCTAAATGATGGCTTATGGCATACCATTGTTTTGATACTTAGAAAAGATAATATTGTCCTATCATTGGACGGAATTCCCAGTATGACTACCCGATCATTTGATATGTTTACCGGTCAGATATATCAAGTGGGCGGAGGTTACCACGGAATGTCAGGTTTTGTTGGTTGTATGCGTTGGATATACATTGAGGGCCGATATGTCAATGTGGAGACATTACCGCCTGAAAGGATAATCAAATCCCAGGACACCGACATAACGATTAAAGCGTGTCAAATGGTAGACAGGTGTCACCCGAACCCCTGTGAACACGGAGGTGCCTGTAAACAGGATAATCTTGACTTCTATTGCGATTGCGGTGGAACTGGTTATATGGGTGCAGTTTGTCATGTGGCCAGACATCCGTTATCATGTGCGGCTTATAAAATTGATAACCCGAAATCAAGGAAAGCCGATGTCCAGCTCGATGTTGACGGCAGCGGACCGTTAGAGCCATTTTGGGCCACTTGTCTCTTTCCGAGCGATGATAAATCGCAGATTATAATACATCACCGAAACGAAGAGGCGACTGAGGTTCGCGGCTATAACTTACCCGGATCTTACATACAAGACATCAAATATGACGCACCATTTGAACAAATTGTCGAAATTGTCAACCGATCCATTGCTTGTCAGCAAAAATTGAAATACGAGTGTCTTAATGCACGGCTACTTAATACACCCGGTATTTATGATGACTACCCACAACATGATTGTCATATACAATAACATATTTTTTTTGTTTGTATAATTATAGCACCGATGGGCGCAGAATTACAACCGTTTTCGTGGTGGGTCTCGCGAAACAACCAAAAGATGGACTATTGGGGCGGCTCTCTGCCAGGTTCCCGGAAATGCCTGTGCGGTCTATACGGCACGTGCAAAGATCCCCGAAAATGGTGTAATTGTGACGCCGCTACTGTATGTATAAATGCTATCATCGACACCACCACAACACTGGAAAAAACTTAATAATTGTTTAAACTTTTATAGGAATTATTGAATCAAAATGAATTTTATGTGGATGAGGGCGATCTGACCCAAAGAGAATACCTACCGGTGCGACAGTTAAGATTTGGCGACACAGGAGGTAACTCACAGTCGCGACGAATGGGTAAATACACATTGGGTCCACTTATTTGTGAAGGCGATACCCTGTTTGAGGATATCGTTACCTTCCGTTACGAAGACGCCACTATTGAATTATCGCCGTTTGATTTGGGACCAGCTGTTGATATATATTTGCAATTCAAAACTACTGCCGAATTTGGTGTCATTTTTCATCAGAGAGGACCCGAAGATTTCATAAAGTTGTCGATAGTTAATGGAAAGACACTTCAGTTTTCATATTCATCGGGAAATGGTTTACAACAAGTGTCAGTTGAGGCCTCCTATCGACTCAATGATAACAATTGGCACTCAATATTGGTCGAGAAGAACAAAAAAGAAGCCCGACTTGTCATTGATGGCCAATTAACTAATGAACAAAGACTCAGCACCGGCGCACTCGTCCGTCCATTACATTTAACGTCCCATTTTGTGATCGGCGCCACTACTGAGTATCGGGAAGGCTATGTCGGTTGTTTGCGATCTCTATTAATCAATGGAATGGCCATTAATTTAGGCCGATATGCATTGGAAGGAATGTATGGTATAAGCAAAGGATGTGTTGGCAAATGTGAATCCAATCCTTGCCTTAACAACGGCACATGTATTGATCACTACAATGGTTATGCCTGCGACTGTCAATGGACAGCATTCAAGGGTCCGATTTGTGCCGATGAGATTGGCGTCAATCTGCGATCAGACATATATATTCGATACGATTTTGAGACATCCATTTCCACACTCGAAGAATATATAAGAGTTGGATTTACGACAACAGTGCACAGGGGTCTCATACTTGGCATATCATCGTTCACTGATGAATATCTAAATCTAATGATGTCTAATAGTGGTTTGTATTTATTTAATATAATGCTTAAAAAACTATTATTTCATATTTAATTAATAAATCATTGTTTTTGTTGTTGTTTTTTCAGGTCATCTAAGACTTGTACTTGACTTTGGCTTTGAAAGGCATGAGATAATCATTGTAGAGGAAAACTTTGCATTAGGACAACACCACGACATTACTATTAGGAGATCAAATAGAGGCTCACGTATTACCATTTGGGTAATCTTTTTTGTGTTGAAATTAAAATATTTTATTAAAGTATTTTTATATATAAAATAAAATCTGTTACTAAATTGAAAAATATATGACCCATTGATTAGGTGGACAATTATGAACCGAAAATCTATACGTTTAAGATTAGTGGTAAAGCCGACGCACAATTCAATCGTCTCAAAAGTATATACATTGGACGCAATGAAACAATGGATACGGGAGAGGGATTTAGTGGCTGTATATCAAGGGTTACGTTTGACGATCACTTTCCACTCAGACGTCTCTATCAAGAAAACCGAAGAGGAAATGTCCAGTCATTTCCAAAGGGTGTCGAAGTCTATGAGGACACGTGTGGTATTGAACCGGCCACTCATTCACCCGGTGCGTACAAATTGACTTGAATTTATTGAAAAAAAACTAACTTAAATTTTTACCACTACTACTACTACCAGAAATGACCGAAACACGACCCCCACCTACTCTGGCTCCGGGCGAAAAATTACCAGACATTCCACAAGCAATAAACACTGGTGCCATTGTTGGTGGTGTTATCGCTGCTATTGTTGTGATCATAATTATCGGACTGTTCGCCAGTGGACGGTTTGCTGCCCGACAAAAAGGTGATTATGTAACCCACGAGGACAAGGGTGCCGAACATGCCATAGATCCCGACACCGCTGTCGTTAAAGGAACCACAGGTCCCGATGTGACCAAAAAGAAAGAGTACTTCATTTGAACGAAAGGATAGAAAGAAAGAAACGACAATTTTTTTACAGAAAATAGAAATATATATATATTTGAAACCACTTTTACAAATGTTTTTTAATTAATAGATCTGTTTTTTGTCTGTTTTTTAATAATAATTCTGAAATATACACACACTTAACGTTTAATTTTTATATAAGTAATATATATATTATATATAAAAGTTGGCACTATTTTTATGACAATATTTAAAGAGAAATATTGATTTAATAAAATAAATTATTAATTATAAAACTGAATATTGGTTTTTATTGGAATTTTTTATTTTATTTTCTCTCCAAATAATTAAAGTTAAGTTATTTTCGGAAATTATAAATCTATAAATAATTATATTATATTATAATTATTTTAAATAAGTACTTTTCAGGATTAAATCAGGATATTTGGGAAAATCCCAAAAGTTTCCGAAAAATAATTGAATATAAGTTATAAATAATTAATAAATAATTATAGAAATTAACAAAATACGTCAACCCATCAAAATAATTAAAACTTTTTAAACGTGACATCAACAGGAAATTAGATGCAAATATAAAATCATAAAAATTCACTTAAAATTTTTTACCACTTAATTCATCATGATTATTTTTTATTGTTTTTGATTTATATTATATTTTTAGTAGCTTTTTATAAATGATTAAATTACTTATTATTATTATTACTACAGTACTACTACTAATAATAATTTTATTACAAGGATTTCCATTTAAGTTATATCTGTGCTGTATTTTTTTTTAAAAATAGTAAATAATTAAATGTATCTATTTTAATTAGGCTGTTTAAAAATAATAATATATTACATATGCCAGTCAATTAATTAAAAGCTATTAAAATAAAATCTCTATCTAGACTTTAAGGTTTCACTTTTTAACTAAATACCATGTATTTTAAATCATAAATCTAGTAATATATTATAATATAAATGTAATTTATAAAAGTTTTTATATATAAATAATATTATATACTGTATATTAATTAGTAGTTTTTTTAAATACAGTATATATATATACCGAATATCATAGTTCTAATCATAACATCACTTATGATAATAATAATAATATTATTAATAATAATATAGTATTAATAATATTTTTCTAATTAAAAATTGGGTCAATGCATGTGAATTATATAGTTTGAAAGACAAATCAATAGATTTTTTTATTTTTTTGAAAATTTAATGTTAAAATTTACACGAATGAAAACAAGGTTATAGTTGCTGTCATGTATTTTTTTTTTTAATTTTAATACACACTATGTATGACTATCACTATCACTATCACTTAAATTTCGATTTAAATTAATGCAACATTTGTTTCATAACTTTTATAGTTAGTTCATTTAAACTAAAAATCTATAATTAAATAAATAAATACATCTATTTAGCAAATTTAAGAGAAAAATTTATTTGAAAAAATCAATTTTAAATACAATATACTGTAATTAGTAGTATTAGTATTTATACATAATTTTTCTCATCAAACAATAGATTATTGCATAAAAGTCAATTTAATATTTATTTATTTTTATTTTATTAATATTTTTCAGTTTTTATTCAATCATTAATTTCCAAAATATATATATTCATATATACAGTATAAATAAATATACAATTCTATTATTTAAATAAATAAAATAATTTATAATTCTTTATTTTTTCAATAATATATTTTTTAAAAATATATCATTTTATATGTGGTGTGTTTGTGTGTATGTATGTTAGTGTGTGTGACTATTAATCAAACTCTGATCAAACCTATATATATATATATTAACTTAAATTATAATATAATATATAATAAAAGTCATAATCTTTAGTTTTTATATGTCGTCTAAAGACAATTTGAAAGTCACTTTGATTTAATGTCGATCTCTCACTGAATAATATAATTCAGTTTATAAGTGATTGCATTTTTTTTGTTAGATGAATATAAATACAATTAAAATTGTATTAATATTCATATAATATTTAATAATATATATATTAACATCAAATATTATATATAGAATTTTAAATAATATATAGTATATATATAAACAAATAAAAATATAATTTAATAAATACAGTTAATTACAATAATGTTAAATAAAATATTTTAATAATTAATTTATATAGTTATAGCTTTTGTTGAATGTTTTATTGGACATAAAATACTACTACTAATAATAAATATAAAAATTAAATTAAATTTTAAGACTTAACTTCTGTAATAATATCCCAGAGACAGACTCTCCTATCGAAAGAACAGGTGAACAGATGGATACTATTTGGTTGATTAAGAGCAGCGAATGAACAACAGGTAACCATTCGGTCGTGTTGTGATCGGGACAGACGGCACACCCGATTGCCAGATAAATCATATACTCGGACGTGTCGGTTGTCCAGTGGAATGGCTATTAGGTTGTCCTCTTCGGATACGGAAAACTTGTTTAGCGGTGACTCAACGTATATCGATGTCAACGCTGATCGCATATTTCGCAACTATTAAACAAATAAATAAATTTATAGGTAATGTTAAAATGTATTCAACAACAAAAAACAATTTTGTTAAATAATAACAAAATATTATTATAATCCATTAGTTTTAAAAAATAGTTCAAATATAACATTTATAGGTTAACGGATGTGTTGGTTGTGTAAGTGGGCGCACATATACTGTATATACCCATATAGTCATAGCGCTTACCGTATGAATAAATTTATAATTATGTTATATATTTATATTACGGTAACGAAAAATGTAGTGTTATTTTATAATAATTTTTTTTAAAAAATCATTTCACTTACGTCCCACACTTTTAGTGTCCTATCATCAGAACCAGAGATGACTTTATCGGTACCCAAAAATGAGGCCGACATGACTGACCTTTAATAGAGTGAAGTAACAATAATAATAATAATTACAATTTACATTAACTTTTCATTTGTCAATAAAAAATAAAATTGCAAACAAATTAAAAAATATAGTTTATTGACATCAACAACAATAATAATAAAAAAACAGATTATAATTGACATACTCTGTGTGTCCCTGAAATACGGAGACGGAATGTATGGCATCCCGAAAGTCCCACAAACGGAAAGTAGTGTCGTGCGATGAGGTCACTATTAGTCGGGTCGAGCCGTGAGCGCATACATCAGTCAGCTCTTGATCGTGTCCGGCAAGTTGTACTACTAGTTCACCCGTTTGAATATCATAAATATTGGCCGTACGATCCCATGAGGCGGTAACACACTGGTCAACACCGGATATCCAATCACATGAAATTACAACACTTTGATGGCCAGTCAGTTCACACAGCGGTGTCTTAATTTGTATGGAATCTTCAGATTTTTGATTAACCAATTGGTGATCATTTGTCCCGTCTTGCATGGCTTCGTCGGGCTCTAAATTTCTCTGTAAATGCTGGCCATTCAAATCAAGATCAGAAACAATCGTTAACAACAAAAAAAATCGGCGGTTAGTTAGCACATACCAGTTCTAAGTTGGGTCTCCATATATGTGAAGTACCATCACCGGCGGCAGTCATTATAAGATCATAATTCGGATGAAATTTAACACAATTCACTGAACAACCGGTGTGTCCAACATATGTCAAAAGGGGTGTCAGATTTGCGTCCATTTTGGTAACGTCTGACACGACAGCTGTTCCATCTTTAATAAAATGTACGATTTATTTGAATAATAATTTTTTTTTATAACAATAGATGAGTTGTATAAACCTGCAGAAGCGGTGGCTATAAAATGTTTTTGTTGTTTAACGGCTGACGTGATATACCAAAGTCCATCCTTATGCCACTCATATTTGCCGACCTGATGTGCCGTCACATTCTGACCTTTAAAAAGGTTACGTCCCGTTGCCTTTAATTTATAGGTTGACTTGATTTTTGCCGATAATTGGGAAGCTTTTTGATTGAAATAATTGATTATCGATAAAAAAACTCACATTTGATATTTATAGCCTATATATCAATATATTGAGTGTCAGTCAACACATACCGGTTACCATTGAGTCCCGTTTGACGGAATTTACTGACAATTTCTGTTGTAATGCCCTGTTCTGGACATCAGTTTGTGGTGTTCCTGAAGACAGAATTAGCTCTTCCAATGTCTCGACTCTTTCTTTAACTTTTTTAAAATTTTGTTTATTAATAGTTAATATTTTTTTTTAGTATTTGAAAGATAAAAAATATGATATTATTTATCGTTATATTTTTATATAAAACTAAATCATAGGAAAAATTTCAAACAGAAAAAAATAATTATATAAAGAAAGTCATGAAAAATGTCAAAATCTAAGTGATTAGAGAAAGTGATTATATAAATGAAAATCTAAAATGTTAGTCAATACTACTACTACTATATAATTGTTTTTTACAACTAAATAGTTATCCAAATAAACCGGTTTAAGAGTTAATAAAATACTGGATTTATTATTATTATTAAAAAAAACAACTAAAAAATTTATTTCGTTGAAATCGTCTGATCTCACAAACAAAATATAAAAAAAAAAGATTTACAAACAAAATAATAACGAAAAACAAAAATTATGATAAATTATTTACTGCAATAAAAACTATTCAAAAAAAAAATTTCCTAACTTAGTATAAGATATACAACAACAACAAAAAAATAGCAACAAAAACGAGATTAAAATTATAATAATAAAAACTAAATAAATTAAATCATAAAATCAATGGTCACTTACGGGCAACGTTTTCGGTGATCAATCCGTCAAACTCTTTCTCAATTTGACCGAAAAGATGATGTAATCGATGTCTGCGTTTAGTTAGCGATGGATTAGACATTATTATCGATACATTGCTTAATATTATATCATTGATTGCATTGATAGACATATTTATAAATAATATATATATTTTTATAAAAATAGATACACTGTTTTATATCATTTACAACAAAAAACTAACTGTTTTATTACAATAAAATTTATGGTAAAGTATACTAATTATGTAATTTCTGATAAAAATAAGGCGTTAATAAACGTATAAAAATAATTTTATGAACAGTTTCGGAGACAAATAAAATAATTTTATAATACTATTACTATTTATCTTAAAAAACAAATACACAATTTATATATAAATATTTATTAAAAAAAAATAAGACTAATTGTTTCAAATGGTTTTAGCATTATTATTAATAATAATACTATTATTATTATTGTTTATATCATTATAATATCATATCATATATTTATACAAATTTATTGTATTTACATTTATACAATAATTATAATATAGGAATATATGCACATATGATATAACAGTAAAATTTATATTATTATTAAAATATAAATTATATTTTTATAAAAACAATAATAGATAAATAACTTAATTATTGAATAAATGAAAAACAATTGCAAATATTTAAGATATTATTATTATTATTATTAAAAAACAAATAAAAGTAAAAGTAATGACAAAAAACATATCGTATATTAAATATTTGTCTTTTTTGAAAAATAAAATAAAATCATAAAAAATTAATTAATGTTTAAAACTAAATGCAAATGTTTGCGAAAAAAATATTCATTGATTGATAAGTAAATGCAATGAATAATCAAAAAATATTTTTTATGATATCATATATTAGATTGTAATCAATGGTCACACAAACCTGATGTCTGGATTATCGGTCATCACCTCACCATTGGTCACATATTTGTTACGATGTTTGGTGGCCGACATCGTGTCTATGGGTGTGTGAGTGTGTGTTGTGGACAGTGATGTTAATGAGCACCGGTGGTGGGCTCAGCACTGGGCGCTTGCAATCTGACTGTCTGTGTGTGTGTGTGTTGGGGACTGTCAGGTGTTGTACTGTATACTTATGGTGTGATCATTAGGACGACTAATACTGTACTACTACTACTAAAACACAACTAATTAAAAGCACAGTTAGTTGTTATATGAATGCCTCTATAGTATACACAGTAAACTGCAATATAATTATATAAATGTATTAAATATATATAACTAATAATAATAATAATAATAAACACTTGATTTACTACCACTACTACAGCACAAGCAGTGACTCCAATGCATACATAATAATAACACTAATAATAATAATAATAATAAAACATTGCATTCAATGTTATGTGTTGTGCAATGAGTGATACGTTTTCACTGATTAGCCAATCATTTTTGATGAGCCAGTCATATATATATATACAGACACTGTTTATTAGACTATAGCCTATAGGGGTTGGTATCACTCAGCTATATATTCTGTGTATTGAATAATATAAATATTTTAGAGGTCACACTAAAAGGGGGTCTTGTTTTTTATATATAGTTATACTATATATGAATGATGAGTAGTAGTGGAATCAATCAATAATTGTAATCAATGTTTGTGTTAATAGATGTCTCTGAGAGTGTATTTGTTTACATATTGTATAAGTGTCTCATGTGTTCAATCAAATCAATGCATTGACTATTGATATCATATATTAATAATACATATTATGTGACCAATAGTTTTGGTTATGTTTTTTGTAAGTGTTATGTCTTGAAGAGGTTTGTCACCAAAAAAACAGATGAAATAGTGTTTTTTGTGTCGAAGAAGAAGAATAGAATTCTTAAGAAACAAATGTCTGTACAATTGAGACACTATTTTCGGTTGTTGTCGTCGACAACAATGAAGAGCTGCCGCAGCAATAAGTTATTGGCCAACAATTTTATCATCGATTTCAATGGTTTTTACAGAAGTAAGTGATTTTTGTCGTTGTTGTGGTCAATACCTATCAAACCGATTGTCAAAAAATATGAGAAATTAATTATATTGTAAAATATTTTTCCGATATTTATTTAATATTGATAGACATGTCGACAGTTGCCGAAGTTGTCCGACCAACTGATCCCAATTTACCGGTAGAGATAATGGATGTTGAAGAATACCGAAGAATGAATGGCATCGAGTGTTTCGGTAATTCAGTGGCCGATCCGATCAAGACGTTTGATACCTATCGATGGCATCCGAATTTGTATCGCCGTATCAAAGAAATTGGTTATCAAACAACGACACCCATTCAGGCCCAGTCACTGCCCATTGTGTTTGATAAGAGAGATATAGTCGGTATCGCCAGTTCGGGCTCCGGGAAGACACTGAGCTTTGTATTGCCAGCTCTCGTATGTTTGTCTCTTACATAACTTAAAAAACTATTTATGTCTAGTAATGTTAACGAATTATATGATGTCTACTAAAAAATTCAGATGCGATGTATGACATCGAAACAGGATCTATGGCCGCGTTGTCTAATACTGACGCCGTCGCGAGAGTTGACCCATCAGATCGAAAAAGTGATAAAAAGTTTCCGATTTGTACGATCTATTTGTCTGTACGGTGGCGTCTCATATGAAGTACAGGAGATGCTCTTAAACAAAGCTAATCCTCATATAGTGATCTCTACTCCATCTCGACTCGAAACCATCTTCCAGAAAGGTATTACAAAACTGGATAACGTAGACTACGTTGTGGTCGATGAGGCCGACCTTATGTTGAAGTCAGGCCAACAGTCATCGTTTGCCCACATAATGAATAATTTGCCCAAAAAACGTCAAACGCTAATGTTTTCGGCCACTTGGCCGCCATCAGTCCAAAAGTTAGCCGAACAATATCTGGACAATTATATTCGGGTTAATGTTTCACAAACACAATCACTGTCTTCGTTAACTGTTAACAAAAATATTGAACAAATTGTTAAAGTTGTCAAAGAGAGTGAAAAAGAAGATAAATTGCTAGAAGTGATGAACGAATTGGTGCCATCGGTAACTGGTTTTATAAAGACTATTATATTTGTCAGATCTAAGAGAACAGCCAATCGATTGGTGAAATTTCTAAAGAAAGAGTCATTTCCGGCCCGTGCTTTCCATTCAAGTAAACATCAAGAAGAAAGAGATTATATAATCAGAGGTTTGATTTTTAATAATTTTAATGTTATTTTTTATAATTATTATTATTTGTATAGAGTTTAGAAAGGGAGTCATTCCTATACTAGTAGCCACTGATGTTGCCTCAAGAGGATTGGGTATGTCCTGAAAGCAAATTATGTATTACCGGTAATATTGACATAATATTGAAATTATTTTTTTATATAGATTTTATAAATGTAAAATTTGTTATCAATTATGACTTTCCATCACAAATGGAAGATTATATACATAGAATAGGTAGAACTGGTAGGTATAAAGAAACGGGAAAAGCGCTCACATTTTTTACGGCTAAAAATATTTATCATAAATCAAATCTAATTGAACTCTTAAAAGAGACTAAACAAACAATCGATAAAAATTTAATTGATTTAACTGAAGAATCTGAAGATAATATCATCAAAGATGATAATAATAATAATAATGACAAAGATTCGGGATATGAGAGCTCTGGAGAGGGAAACGATTTAGACAACGATGAAGACGAGTCATCCTCTAGTGAGTGGACATCTGATGATGAATCAACTAATAAAACTAAAAAGTTATAAATTTTTGATTTGTAATTATAATAGAAATATATATATATATCTCTACTCATATAATAAAATAATTTAATTATTTATGTTTTGACAATTAATTATTATTATTTAATAATTAACATTAAAGCATATGTGAGGAAGTTATACAGCATTTTATTCTGCAATTTATGTCAAACATAAACATTTTTTTATTCATAAATATTATTGTGTAATAAATATAATATCACTGGTATTGTTGACAATTATTTGCGAGTTTATAAATTATTATAAATGTTAAATGAGGTTAAATTTAGATAATATATAATTAATGATGTGTACTTAATTATGGTAAATATACTGTAATTTTATGAAATAAGATATTATAATTTTTGATAAATAATATAAATGCATTTACTAAATACTAATGAATCATTTAATAATGAAATATAAGATTATTGTTTTATATAATGTACTAAAATATTCTAAACATTTATATATATATATATAAAATATAACTTATTGTTGTATTGTTATCACACAATAATAGTGTCAATTTGATAAAAAGTTATTTTCACGTCAATGAATACTTTTGTATACCCAAAAATTATTTTAAATAATATTTTTTTTTTGAGAATTGTCTTGCATTTTTAAAATTAATTTGTCTTATTTATATTATTAAAATATTTTTTGTTATAAATTTAATGTTAAATATAATGTCATTGAGTGAAAATTAAAAAAAACTAAAAATTAAAATCACATTATATATGATAAATAACATCATTTTGTTTGTTGTTGTTTTAAATACTTTGCACAGAAAACAATATTTTCTTTTCTCTATTTCTATCGATTCCGTTATTATTTAGATAATAATGATTTGGTTCTTCAGTTATTGAATTGCTTAGTAGTGCCTCCTTTTCCATTGACTCGTCATCCTCTTCCCATTGTGAGGCCCTACGAGAGCTTTTGGCACTTTTATTCGCCAATGATTTCTCATATTCAGTATAACCAGAGGATGATGAAGACGACGAAGAGGACGATGAGTCAGACTCTTCCCAGTTTATGAAGAACGAAGTGATTCCGGCCATCACTGCCTGATAAGGAATATTCTGGTTAATTGGGGTTTTTGTTTTAAATATGTAAATAAAAATTATTAATAATTTACTCCAATCAACATAAATGCGGCCACAATTGTCGAGGCAATTGAAAAGTCAAAATGCTCAGACAGCCAACCGCCCAGTGATGGACCCGTTACCTCACTGTAGTATTTTTTTGTTAAGATTTTTCAGTCAAGTTTTTAAAAATTAATATTTAAAATGTTTTATTTTTGATACCCCAATGAATAGAAAGCACTCCAAAAACCCGATACCAAACTATAGGTTGCAATGTTGTCTGAAAAGCCACGATCTCTATAATATTAATAAAGTTTTTAGTATACAATTTTTTTATAAAAATTATTTGGTTACAGTTTTATCCTTACAGTGCAAGATCTAACAATGATTCAAATGTTGGTATAAATGCCACGGCATAGGCAACTCCTACCAGTCCCATGGATGCCACACTCAATAACAGCGATGGCTGTATTGGTAATAGAAAGGACGGTGCTATAAGTAATAATCCGATACCAGTTACAAGCATTCCCAGTGCCATAATTGGGAATTTGTTGTCAAAATAGCCGGAAAACCAACCGACTAGTGGCGAACACACTGTATATGTTGCCGATAATAACAGGAAAACGATTGAAACATATTCCGGACTAATATTCATTTCACGAAAGTGTGGTTCAATAGTCGGATCCAGAAAACTAATGGTCTGAGACACTAACATCACTATTAGGCCGACGACTAATATTTGTGGTATTGATAATAGCCTTAAATATGTGTCAGATTCTGAATCCTTTTTTATGGGCATTACATCTATATTTGATTACAATAGAAAAAATTATAATTGTTTCGCTTATTGTATTATAAAATTAAGGTTTACAATCAATTGGTTTAATGATGTAGAGACATAACGGTATAGTGACTAACATTAGGCCTCCCAATACAAAAAATGGTAAACTATAACCACCCAAACTGTATAGTCCGCCTCCTATTGCTGGCCCAATAGCCATACCCAAGCCTATGAATGTTTCTATTAATCCCTATTTTAAAAAATATAATATAGTATATTAATATCAACAAAAAAAAATTAAACAGTAAATAAGATACAAAAAATAGGTTAATAACATGTATCTGTATATTAACTAAAAATTTAACTAAAGGGTTAATTGAACAAAAACATTGAAAAAATAATATAAACTACATGTTAGTTAACTAAATGTGTATATGTAATTTATTTAATAAAGCATTAATCTAATTATAAATATTTATAAATATAAAATAGATATAAAAATAAATATTAACTTTTAGTAATTAGAGTACAAAATTAACAAATAAATGTTGATTAATAAAAAAATACTAAATAAATTTATATGATATGTATATGTAGTGTATATTTTATTTTAAAAAAAACAACTTACAAAAGCGGTTCCAATATTATTGGGGAAGACCTGCATAATGATGGTATAGGAAGCCGTCGAAAAAGCTGCGGCACCGATGGCCTCGAAAATACGGACAACAAAACAATAAACCGTAAAAATAGTCAAATCGTTGATTCTGTCCAATACACCAAATAATATGTTGGACGCACCGCATACAAACACACCGGATATAAGCATAAAATTAGGTCCAATTTTGGGTATCAATAGACCACAAATTGGACAAAATATCATATCTACCAATGCATAGACACTGAACACAAATCCATAAGTGGTTTCCCTCATCCCCTTCTTCGAAGCCTCCAATGGAAAGAATGGTGCGATCAGTGACATCGATAGCATGGATGTGAACGATATGATAGACAGACAAATCAGTGTTGACTTTTGGTAACCACTATACTTGGCTTTACCGGTAATACCGCTGAGATCTAATTTAGATACTGATAGTCGCCGTTGCGGTGCCAGCGGTTGCCGTATACTCAACGGGTGTCGACTGCGCGGAGTCGCGCCCTGTGATAGTGACCTTTTCGGATGTACTCTATGGTGATGTGACTTTGGATTTCGATTACGTCCCCGACTTCGGTGATGTCGTTTGACTTCATAGACGGTAATATTTGTGTCATTAAATAGTGTCTGTTTTACAGGTTTAATGGTATCGACACTGCTTTCGGTAATAGTGTCCAAATCCTTTTCTGTATTCTCCATATTTGCCACAAATTTCTTATATTTAATTTAAAACTCATTAATTGATAACAATTTTTTAAAAAATATTCATTAAAAAAAATATTTATCTATTAATATCAAACAAAATTATAATTATTAATTCTAAAATTTCTAATAATTTATTAAACAAAGTTTAACACATTTATTTGACTACTAGTTATAGGCAGTACTTCAAGTGGTTGTTCAATTGATTGGCTACACTATCAGTATTGATAAACTGTCTCTTATTTTTTGCACAATACTATGACAGTGTGTGTGTGCCGTGCGTTTGAATGGTTGGTTTGCAATCACCAGGGTGGTCATATAAATTATATCAATAGTTTACAAACAAATGGACACTTTATTTAATAATCTATTAGTCGTCATATAATAATTTGTCGACAAACTCATTGAACAAGTAATCAATAGCACATTAATAAAAAATATAATCATTATTTATCATTTGAAGATTAAAATTGAGTTGAAAATAAATATACAGATTTTATTGTAAATTATTATTATATAACTATATTATTATTATTGGAAATTTCCCAATTAAAGGAAAACGTTCAAATAATATTGAATTTTATACATTATTTTATTATCTATTTTAAATAAAAAATTAACTATAGATAATTAAATATTTCAATGATATTTGTAATATTTAAAATTAATTAATTATTTATATTATAACTAATAAGTTACGTTATGTTAATTTATTATTATATAATTATTCAAAAGTATCTTATATATCACTATTAAAAAAATATTAATTATAATTGCTGGTATAAATGAGGATATAAAACTTTCAGTTATTTTATATTATAAATAATAATAAATAACAAGATTATTAAAACAATTTAAACTTTATAAAATAATTTGCTTAGGTTAAAAAATTCCATAAATCAAAAACTGTTGATTTTTGAAATAATTTGACACATTTACTAAAATATTTAAAAATTATTAACATATGATATCAACTTTAAAAAATAATATTTTTAAATTATTAAATTTATATCTGGTTTCTAATTTTTTCCAATATATTTGTACTTTAATCTGCAATCGTATGACAAAATATTTATTTAATATTTTGTATAAATCGGTAAACAATATCATATATGACACGATATAAATGTTGTTTTTAAGTAATTCACTTTAATTTTAAAAATCTTATGTCAAAATTACATCAATTTATTAAATCAATTAATATAAAATTTATAAAAATAAATAAATTTTGTTTATATAATAGTTGTAATTAATTTTGTTTAATAAGATTTTTGTTTAATTGGTTAGTTATTTAGTCAATATTTAATTAATTAATTTTGTTTAAAAAATTATATTATAGTGTTTTATTTAAATAACTAATTTAAATACAAAGTATTTTATTAATGATTATTATTAAATATCCATAAATACTATATAATATACTAAATCCTAAAATAAACATTAAAAGTTAATACAGTATATTAGTTGTACATTAATTTAATTAAAAATATTTACAATTTTTAATTGACGTAACAAAAATACTATATATATATATTTATACAATATAATGATTATTTTATAGTACATATCATTTAATTGTATGATAAAAATATTAGATGAATATTAATTTTATTAATTATGTAAAATTAATTAAGTTCGTATCTTTATTATAAATATATGTATATAATGTTAATAACATTATCCACTACTTTCTAATATTATTATATAATTATTTTATATAAAATTAAAATATTCTGTAATAATGTTTACTAATAATTAAATTCTAAGTTATAATTACTGTAATGTTTCATTGTTTTTTAATAATTATTTTTATAAAATGATTTTAATATTATATCGTATTAATTATAAAATTAAATCGTATACAATAAAATAGTTAGTCTATCAGTTTTTAATATAAATTTATTATTAATAGTCCTATAAGTATTGTAATAAAAATAGTTATTTTAAACAATGACTTTATAATATATTATTACTGTATTATAGTATTTAAAATATATATTTGTAAAAAAAATAATGCAATCAAATTGATATCAGCTAACGTTATAATAGACAGTATTTAGTATAGTTTATTGTATATAAAAATTAATAAACATTTTTAAATTTTTTTTACATAATCTCATAAATTTCATAATTGTTTTAAATATCTCTTAAATTTTTCATTATTTGCATTTATAATGTAAATATTTATTTTGCAAAAAAATTTTGCAGAAATCATAAGATACTAAATAAATATAATTACATGAAAAAAGATAATTTATATTATCAATAAAAAAACTAAGTTAAATATTGCACAAAAAAATTATTTAGCAAAATTTATAATAATAATAATACAGTAACTATCTTACACTAGCAATAATATATCACTTTAAATAGTAAATTTCAGTAATGTTTATAACATTTCTAAAGTTAACTTAATACTAATAATTATAAATTATTAAAATCAATTATTTATCTAAATTATTAAATAATTGGTTAAAATTGTACACGATAACATCTATTATAAAAGTAAATAGTTAATCAAGTACAATTTATTGTACATAAATCATACATAATTAATAAGCGACATATGCTATAATTGCTATAACATAAGCATAAGTTATAATTTTAATTTACTTATTTGCTATTAATATATTTATAGTTTATATTTATATAAATAAATAAAGTGTATATTTATATAAAATTATTAATATCAATTTTATTAAACATAAAAAATTATTAACTGACAAATATTATACATTTGTATTTTTGATAAGTAAAACATTTTTAATATTAATAAAAAAAATTATATTCCTGATACTTTAAAAAAATGATAATAGGATCAATGTCATTGCAATGTTATTATCATATAATTTATATACTTAAATATATATATATAATAATTTTTAAAAAAAACTTTTAAAACGTAGATTAAAGATATGATTAAAATTTAATAAATATATTTTTATTTTAAAAAATATATTAAACTCAAAGTTCATATAATATACGGAAAGCAATGGATTTAATTCCTATTGCAATAAAATACTGTACTATTGTTTATAACAGTTAATAATAGAGTACTGTTTAAACAGATATCGAAAAAAAAGTTGTTTCAAATAAACTAAAACTAAAAATCAAAAGTCAAACAATAAAAACAAACAATAATTTTGAAGTCAAACCCAATATTATTATTATTATTATTAATAAACTGATTGTCAGAGCAATGGATTCGACGCACAACTCAAGTCACGCAAGACATGTGTATAGAGTCATACATATAGTCTGTTACACATTAATTCCCCTAACATTTGTTATACCTTTTTGTATTGGTTTTTATAATACAATCGAACCGTCAAATCCATCCATAAAACAATTGAAATGATTTGAATGAATACGTTATATGTGAACAAACATATTGACAAACAACAGACTGATGGCTGACAACAGAAGCGATTCATTTGAATGACTTTTTTTCAAACGACGACAACAACTGCTGCTGTCTTTAAACTATACTTATGTGTCACCGAAACGGTTCCCATTTGTCATTGTCGTCGCTGGACATTACGTGAACAATACAAGACAATTGCCGACAGACACACACAAACAAACCGGTTGTGAATATCTATTGAATTTGATCCGCCATTAGTGTTGTTTGTCGCGACCGCGCGGGAAGTGGTTATCCGCGCCGGAAAACGATCTTCGGTTTGTCGGTCATTGCCGTCGTTGTCATTGACCAACTGATGACTGGTTGGTCTGTTTGATCAAAAATGTTGGACATGTATGAGCACAACAAAAGCGATTGCATCCGATTGTTAAATATGATTATCTGTGAAATACCATTCATTAAATCATTTACCGACGACTGTCTACTCGAACGGCTACTAAATCTGATCTCTATTATTACCAATGCATTCGACACGAGTAGTCTATCGCTTAATTATCGGGAACAGGACAGCGAAAACGATCGGGAACTGGCCATCAGAGAGTGGTTAGTCGGTCACTATAACGCCAAATGTCTTATTGATGATCTCAACTTTTCTGATGCCGAAGACAGAGCCCGAGTGGCTATACTTGTGATCAATATATTGTTTAAGTTAAGGCATTCACTCAAAGACATTGAACAGTATCTCGAAGATTGCGATTCATTTGTTCAGTTTGACCGCCAACTCAATGACTTTACGAGGTTTGTATTGCGGCCAACATTTTTTTTGACTGACATCTGATGCCATAAAAGACTTTTTGATAACCTATTGTTGTTTTATTTATTTTTACAGATACGATAAACTATTAGAATTAGTGGCCAATGACTCGAATCGATGGAAATCTGAGGCCCGATATTATAAAGTAAAGTTAGACGAGTCCAAGAAGTTGATCGACAAATACCAACAAAACGAAATTTTCAATTATAAAATCAATACTCGTAATCAAAATCTATACAAAAGCCGAATATCGTTGTCAAACCCGTTGGATGATAGGCCACAGTCGGCGACAAATGCTACGAATTCCGTGTCAGTCAAGAAGAATATGTGTGACCCGATCTCAACAAATAGTCAGCCAAACGATGTGCTACTCAACGGCAACTATGACGACGAAGACAGTGACACCGACACCAACAGTGTCTGCAATGAAGACGTAAACTATGTTTGTGTCGATTGTGACAAAAGCTATTCGACTAAATTCGAGTTTAACTTACATATGCTTCGCGATCACCGACACGTCGACATATCGGACATCATTCGCAATGCAAACACCAAAATCGATATCGATATGAATGAGAGTACAAAACACATGACAAATACTTGTCTGCAAAAGTGTCACAAAACACAGTCCAAGAGATATTTTAAGTGTTTTTACCGCAAGTGTGGCAAAGCGTTTCATAAAATGCATGAACTGAAGAAACATTTTGCTAGACATCAGCCAAAAGTCGAAAGATATGTCTTTGTGTACAGCAATCAAACCAATGCTTCACTGAACCAAATGAGACCACATGTACTTCCAAAAGCCAATCGACGCCAATCATCTTCAGCCCAGACAAAAGCCAAGACTGTTAAACCATCGACAATGGATACGACGGCAATCATAACGACGACGCCGATCACCAAAGCCAACAATAATCATAAAAAGAAAGTCAACAAAACAAAAGATAAAATTAAGACAAATGTGAATAATCTGAAGATTAGCAACAAAATCAATATTGATTTCGGTGTCACCAATGCTTCCCAAACAACTATTATTGATAACAATATTACTAATAATTTAAGTGATAATTCATGCAGAAATAGTTATGCAACAGTTCCTCAAACTAGCGATAATGAGAACAATGTACAGACACTATCATCAAAGACATCATCAGCGATAGCGATGCAAACGACAACTACCACTTCTTCACATGAGTTTAATGGAGATAATAATAATAATAATAGAGTCGAATCTTTTAATAATCATTACTATAGCGAGCAATCAAATGATGGCCAAAATCTGGATATATGTCCGCAACAACAGGAGTTCTGTTACGGTTTGCAACTGACAAATGCCAAGACTTATCCAATGATCAATGGTTTAGACTCTAAGAGTCAACTCTAAAAAAAGAAAAAGAGGTGGTTATCAACAACACATTGGTTACACTTTTATTTAAAAAATTGCATCAATTAATTGATTTTATATAATTAATTAATTATTTATTTATATAATTATTTTTTAATGATTATTATATTATAACATATAAATTGATTCGAATTTATTACATAACATATTTCATAACACATTTGATTCCTAAAAATTTCATAATTCATTTGTTTTTAATAATAATTTATTTGTTTTTTTATCATAATTTAAGTTTAAAAATATCATATATATATATATATATTTTGTAAATTATTAATAATCATAGAATCAAATGAAAATACTTTTTCTTATAATTAATAAAAAGTTTTGTAAATATGGTTTAAACATACAGTATATGCGTATACCGTATTTATGTCACAGTTTACGCAAGTTTTGTGTGTTTATAATTTATTTAAATCTTTTTTGTAATTTTTTTTTGTATTTTCACTGCATTTTTATTTAATGTTAATTCCAAGTCAACATAATTTATTAAATTTAGTATACGTTTTATAGAATTCTAATTAATATCTTAATAACATTTATAATACAGTAATACTCAATTATGTACAGTATTTTTTGAAAATAGTATCAAAATAGATAAGCCATCGATAGATAAATATTAATGTTAATTATTGTTATATAAAATATATTAATAAATAGATCGATTATTTTTTTAAATTACATTTTCCTAATGTAAACCATATATGCTGTAAATGTGTATGTGTGTTGTGACAGTGTGTCCAATAAATATGCAAAAAAAAATACAATTTTTAAATTTTATATTGAACATAATTTTTTATTATTTAAATTCAATAATAATAATAAATTTAATTTATAATAAGTAATATCACAATTATTTGAAGACAACAATCAAACTGTCCGTTCGTTCATTTTTGTGATCAATTTGTAGATTTAATTAAATATAATAATAATTTATATAATAATAATATAATAATAATTATACAGAATAATCATATGGGAAACAGAAATATTTTAACATAAGGAATGATATAATTATAAAAATTTTCAACTAATATTAATTTCAGTAAAAAAAAATTATGCTTACGTAACATATTGTATTTGAAAAAATTATTTACTAAATTAAAAAAAATATATCATTACACAAATTGAACGCACAATCAATAAGTCAATTAAGTGACAAATATATATATTTAAAAATTTATATGTTTTTTAACACATTTATGTAAAATATTTATAATAAGATCGATAAGAAAGTGAAAACAAGTAGTTTTTTATAAACATTAACTCAACAAACAATAATTATAATAGTAATTATGATAATAATAATAAATTTATAATTAACTGAACAAATTAGCTATTTATAATAATAAAAATAATATATATTTATTTATAATGAAATAATAATAATCAATATTTATATTATAACATTTTCTTAATTAACATATTTTCCCACATTTTTTTAGTTTTTTAACTTATTTGTTATGAGAAAACCATATATAATAATAATTATTATTATAACTATATTTACAATTATATAGAAATTTTTTTCACAAAAAAGTTTTGAATATTTTTCATGTTTTTTGAAAATTCACTGTACAATAGTCTAACAAAAATTCTGTCATTTTTGTTGATAATAATAATAAATGTCTATAATTATTATGTATAATATATATATATATATTTATATATAATTAAACAAATATATAACCAATAATTCCTTTAAAAAATACCGCAAATATATTTTTTGCTTCAAATTATTTTATATTATAGTCAAAATGCAATTATTTTAATTTTAAAATTCAAGCATCTTTTTTGTTTTGAATAGAAATAATATTTTGTCATATTTTTACCGGTATATTAGATATACCATAATTTTTTTGATGATTTTGCTGCTTTATATTAAATAATATATGTTTATGTATGAATGTATATATTAAACATCTTTTTTATATATATGTATGCGTTATCTTGTATTTTCAATATACTAATTGAAAAATACAAATATTAAAAATGTCTTATTATATATATATATATATATATATATATAAAATGATATGTCTAATGAAATAAAAACATTTTGAAATATATATATATTCGATGGGTTTATGAATTATAGCGAAACATTTGTTTTAAAAAACAATGAAATGTCTCTTTAATTAATTAATTAATGTATGTATTATTCTGTTATTTTTTGCGCACAATTTGTATAACATTGTTGCTATTAAATCAAGTTAAACAACATTTATTTGTCGTCTTTGTTTAGACAACAAATTATTTGACTTATTTTCAATGTATATATATATATATATATTTGGGGAAGACTTGTAAATAGCGTTAAAAATAGATGACAAAATAATGTGTGTCATCAATGTTTTCAAATCAAATTTCAATATTTAGTGTAATAAAATTATTTGTTTTTCAAAAATGTAAAATTCATTAGTTATTAGATTATAAAAAAAGATAATTTTGTTTTCAATATGAAAAATGTTTTACAACCATATTTTTTAGTTAGTCATTATTATATATATATATATATATATATACTGTATATATACCGGTATATATAATTTATATAAAATTTAAGTACAAATTAAGTTATTTTATAATATATTTAAGATTTTTAAATAAAAATAATTATTGTAGTACTGTATTGTTATGATTCAAATAAAAAATAAAAAGTTATGTAAAAATATAAAGTTCAAAGTTTATGAACTTTAAAAGTGTGTATTAATCAAAGTCTAGACTTTTATTGCCATTTCTTATAACCAAATAATATAATAGTAATTAAACCAAAAATTTTAGTCAAAATATGTCATTGATTTGAAAACAAGTCGACAATTCATTAATAATAGTATTTTTTCTCTCTTGAAATTTGATTAAATCAAATGATGACAAATGAATAGATAGACAGATAGCGGAACACCAATTCAATTCAATTCATGCAGTTTGTTGTGCTCTGTGATGGTGTGTCTGCATATGCGAGTCCAACAGTAAAGTTGTGGTAAAACCGGCGTCACATAAGTCACATACATGCGGTCGGGCGGCCGTATGACCAAACATATGCTATAATATTATACAACAAAAAAGTCTAATTAGCAATCAGTAAAATAAAGAAATAAATTAAATTATAATTCCATACCTTTTTGAAAGCAGATTCATCGGTAAACCCTTTATGACAAACATCGCACTCGTAGTCGTGTCGATCATCATCGTCGTCGTCTTGAGGCGAAGAGCTGTCGTTTTGATGATCGCAGTATAGATGCACCTGAAGAAACTTTGCGGCTTTGAATGTCTGTCCACAGATATGACATGTGTTGGAACGGGTAGATGTAAAGCCTGTTTGAGACTGTGGTTGTGGTTGACTTTGTGGTGGTGTTGGTGTTGGTGTAGGTGCAGGTGAATGTGATTTTGGCGTTGTTTGAGGCGGTGGAGGTTGTATTGATTGTAAAGGTGATAGTGATGGCGATGGCAATCGTGGAGTTGTTTGATTAGCAAGAGTTGGTGACGTTGACTCAGGTGCTGGTGGTAATGGATGACAGTTTGCGGGTAATAATGATTTTCTTTCGCGATCTAATGCATGATAATAGGCATCATTTGGTTCATCTTTGACTTGAGACCCGTCATCATATGGACCATCGATATTGTTGTTGTTGGCCACAGGTTCCGATGCCCATCGCATTTGTCTCGGATCGTAGAGTCGTTGAGCCAGTGCTTGAAGGCTGAGCAGCGAGTTCTCGCAGTCGGTGGTGTCAATCTCGTTGAGGTTAACGATCGACCGCTCCATTTCGGCGTACATACCGAATGGCAATTTTCCGAGGCATTCCAACTTCATTATATGCATCTTCGACCGCAAATGTTTGGCCAGATGGCCGTGAATACGGAAAGCTATCTTACAGTCATCACATTTAAATGGCCGCGGATTATCAGTGGTCGGCGTACCGAATGTCATATTAATGTTGACTTTGTTGAAGTGAGACACCGATCGTTTGTGTTTCTGGAGATGACCTTTCGTACGGAAACTGACGGCACACGACTCACAACGAAACGGCCGTTCAAAGTAGTGTATGTTCTCATGGAGTCTTAGCTGCGAAGGCTTTGAGAATTGTTTGGAACAAATGGAACAAATGCTTTTGCCGTCCACTGAGTCGACGACAACTCTTTGAGGAGCTTTCGGAATAAACTCTCCCTGTCTGAGTCCAAGAGGTAATCCTGACTGAGGCATACCTGTTGTAACACAATTTGTTTGCGGTATTTGTGGAAAAACAATACCATCCATAGGTTCGTTGGGTTTCGTCGACAAATCCATTGGCTCTTCGCGTTCGGAAATTGCAGACAAATTATTGGTCGGATTATGTGGCGATTGGAAGGATCGATCGCCGAGAACTGAAGTCGAATATCTTCTGGCGGCAAATGAGTCTTCAGAACCATTACTATCTTCTTCACTGATAGCTTCGATTGGTTCAACCGGTACTCGAGTATTGGAGGCAAAAGTATTGTGATTGGATGGCAATCGTGACATGTCGTTGAATGAATAGGAACGGGGTCTCGACATTTGGTCAAAGTTTGGTGTCCAAGTAGTTTGCAACATATGTTGCTGTTGCTGTTGCTGTTGTTGGTGTTGTTGTTGGACCTGTTGCTCCAATTGCTGTATTGGTGACAATTTTCGCGGTGATGTCATCACTTGAGGCGGTGGTGGCAAAGAATCTGAAGGCGGTTTCATTATAGTCGGCACCGAATGATAATCGATGACTTCGTTAGGTTTAAAGGCTGGTATCATATGTTGTGAGATAAGTCTTTGTTGATCCGAATCGAGGATATGCTGAGAAATACGTCTTTGTTTCTCCATTTCAATCATTTGAAGAGAAATTCTTCGTTGTTTTTCTTCCATCATATGCTGTGATATTTTTCGATCAATGACTGAAACTCTTCGTCTGTCGGGTGAATTGGCAATGTCTTCTACAGTCGCAGATATTTTGCGCGTTGTATTTGTCAGATCAGACTCGGATCCAGAACCGGACAGAATCAGTAAACTATGGGCTGCTTCCTGTTCCTCGGCTTCAGTGGCCGCTGATCCCGATTCCGATATTGTATGTGGTCGACAATCAAAATCAGCATCATCAAACTGTCCCGGAACTGCTGGCGCCATCCGTTGCAACTCAATCAATGGTATGGGAACTCCTGTTATTGATAACAAGATAACACATATTAATAGGATATACACTAATAAATAATTTTCAACTTCAAGGACAGTTGGGTAGTACGTCATCAAACACATAGTCAGTCTCGACAACAACAACAACACAAACACAGACACACTAAACACACATACCTTCGTCATCCTCTTCATCGTCGTCCTCATCCCATTCGCCTTCATCTTCGTCTTCGTCCTCATCTTCTGGTAAATTACCGCACGTTATCTCAAGCATCTCTTGTTTGGCCAGCGCTTCCGTATCGATCTGAGAGTCATCGATGGTAATGGGCACCGGTATTATACCTAATTCAACACACTTTTTGTGGTGCGCTTTGGACTTCATATGTTTGGTGAGATTGCCTTTGGTTTTGAAGGCAAAAGCGCAGTGACGACAACTGTATGGTCTGAGATCGGTATGCGTTCGGATGTGTTTCTTCAGCATTGATGGCTTCTTGCATCGGATACCACACTCTTCGCACACATACTTTCCACGTCCTCTTCCTCTAACATATGTATAGTCTTCGTTTGATTTGAAACCGCCTAACAATTAGCAAAAAAAAATTAATTAATTTTTATTATTTATTTTAAACAGTCTTTAAAATAAAACATTAAATATTTTTGTGTTTTGCCAACAATTTATATATAATAAAAAAATATATGCTATATAAATATATCCTAATAAAAAATTATTATTATTATTATCACAACCTTTTTAGATAATATAAAGCACTTCATGAGTGAGTGAGAGAGAGAGAGAGAGAGAGAGAGAGAGAGAGAGTTTGAAATTCAAACAAAAATAATAATATACTTTTTATCAGTTATTTTCACATAAAACAAATGAATCACAAATATATAGGAAATGTCTTATTTTTAAATTGATATTTTAAAAATCACAATATCGTGTGTATTGTACTATATTTTTTGTTGTTGAGAAAAACAAATTATTTATTCAGTCAATGATATAATACTGTGTATATATAAATATATATAAATATATATTAAAATTTATTGTTTATATACAACACACACACAGACTAACAATAATAGTGACATTCATGTGATGTCTGCGATCATCACTTTAGTAGGAAAAACATGAGCAGAGAGTATGTCTTTTCTCTGACGGCACCTAAAGAATAGTGTATATGTAATGTATGTCAAAGAAAATATTATATCAGTCCTATAAATGATAAGTATTTACTCTTATGAATAAATTCTGATGAATCAATATTTTTTGATAATAAACACATACATACTCTACACATACATACATACATACAGTACATACACGTTAAATATATAACAAATACAACTACTGTATATGTAACTGAATAAAGAAATATCAAAATTAATAACCATTGATAATATAGACTGTTGTTAACAAAGTTGTATATTTAATTCATAAATTTCAGTATACTTGTGATAGACGACACCAAATAAAGTATTGAAATACAATACATAAAGAAATATTTTATTTTATAAAGTAGTCTACAATATTAATGAATATAATTATAATAGTCTTTTCATTAGTCACTCGTATAGTACACAATGTACTACACATGTAATGAATGCAAAAATCCAAAGATTGGTTTCGTATTTAGAGAGAGAGAGAGAGAGAGAACATAAAAAATAAGACGATAATACTTTTTTGGAGACTATATGGCTATACAAACAAGTAATAACTAGAAATTACTTCTATAAAAAATCATATATAAAGTTAACAACACATAGTGTTTTATAAATTATAATATTATCAATTCAAAGTGTTTGCCAGTAAAATGTGTGACATTTCACTACATTTGATTTGTGTGTCTATGGCTATATATAATATACATGCAATATAATAAATGTATGTGAGTGAGTGAGTGAGTGAGTAAGAGTGGGTGAGTATTAAAAAAGTAATGCAATATAAATGTCAAACATACACTTATTAATTATAAAGAAAATATACCATTATATTTAACTTATTTGTATTTTAATATTTATATAAATTATATATATATATATATATAAATTATATATATATATATATATAAATTATATGAGACTAAATAATAATAAATATTTATGATATACGAGCAAAAAATTATTACATTAATCATCGATACAGTGTTAAATATATTATTTACCAGTATATTGTAGCTATAATTATTAAAAAAATATTGTATTGAAATACAAGTGAAAGGAAAAATACAAATTAAAATAATATTTTTTTTAAATAATAAATGTGTAACCAATTGGCAGACTAAGTGACTGAATAGAGAGTGTAAATACGATAACAAACATTAATCAATCTTTTGAAAGCAATAGAGTCTGGAAATTGTTGTTGTTTTTTGTGTACAGAATATATACCATTCAATATACAGTATAGTGTATAGTATTACAGGTATATTATTATAAACATATAATAACTGAGACTTAATTGTTCAGACATTAGGGAAATAATTTATTTTTGAAAATATAATAATATAAAGTATTATTATTATTAATATTTAAGTATAATATAAGTATTATATATATATATATACTAAAATATCAGCAAAATATTTGCAAATAAATACTATAAGAAAAATAACAAATATTACCGGAAAAATTTTTAAAATAATATTTTCTCAAAAATAATTACTTAAAGACTAGAAAAAAATGTGCAAATAATAAAAGTCTATTAATTTAACTATTTAGTAAAATAAAATTCAATAATTATAATAATAATGTTAATATGTGCTTATATAAATAAATAGATAAATTATTTAATAAATAAATGTGCTAATAAACGACATGACAAACATTGTTTTATGCGATTACGATGAATGTACACGAATATCAATTTTGTCATAATTTGTCGATATATAAACTGTATATATATATAACAGGTATATAACTTTTAATAAACAAAAAAAACTAATAAATAGCAATATCGATATGTAATCAAACAACGTTTAATCACAGGTTACAACTAAACTATTACATCAAAAAATATTGGCGACAAACTGTTTAATAGCAAAACTAATCGACATATAAAGTGTGGAAACAGAGAAAATATGTGTAAAATTTTTAAAATCACAGTCCAATGTGTTATATAAGGAGTTTACGGAAATTGAGGACAGATTTTTCAATGGTAAGAGAGTGAGAGAAAAAAACTTAAGGAAAATATTTAAAGGATATAATTTGCATAACACACACATTTATATACACATATGTATATAACACGGCTATTATATATTTAAATAGCATTGAGTTATGTCATAACGTTTAATGTTGTTAAGGAGTGCTGGTATTTAACGGGAGAGGACTTTCAGATGAGAGAGTGAGTGAGATAAGAGAGATGAGTGAGTGAATGGAAATGGTGTTTAAATGTGAGAGAGTAATAGATATGACAAACCAAACAAATGGGTGTAATTCACTGCTGGTATATTCAATGTATAATAGGATAGTATGGCTAATATGTTTATAAGGAATTATGAGAGGATAGGGATATTTATAAGTGTCGGATAAAAAATATAAGTTTAAAGAGAGAGGAGAGAGAGAGAAAGATGAAGGGGTCGATAACCCATAGTATAAGATATAGATATAAATATATATATAATAAATGGTTGTGAAGAGTAATATCCCAAATGTCGTGAACCACACAAACCAATTGAGGAGAAAAAGTCATAAAATTCAAACAATACCTTCAAATATGCGAACCCTTTTGGGTGGTGTACCCGCTTCGCCACAGTCTTCATCGGTATCCCCTGAATAGGCCGATGAAGCGCTCACTTCACTGATCTTTCTGAAAACCTGTTGTTCCATATTTTCTCCCAATTCATGCCTCATCTTTGCAATTATTTCTACATTTCTCTTAAGATTTTCCTTTTCCTCATCGGATTTATGATACGTCCAATAACTAGAGTGAGTGATCGTCAGATCACCTTTAATAGCACTCGTTGTTATCGGCGAATGTGACCCTTTCAGGTCGTATAAGCCGAGAATGGTTGATGGAGAAGCCAAGTTCATGACATCGTCGGTAGAAATGGGTCGAGGTATCCAATTTGAGTACATCGATAGGTTTGGATCGTACTCTTGGCGCCCACACATGGGCTGTGCCTGATATACTGTAAGATAGACAGGCCTAGGCTTTGCTTTAAGACCAATGCGACTGTAGGCGTGTCCGTTCATAAATAGTTCCACACAAGACTTGTCCGGTCGGGGAGTGTCGGGCGAGACCAGAGTGGAACTGACCAGATTTGAGCTGTTGTTTGGCCGCAACGACAATGTTGTCGGCCGTACAGCACCGGTAGATTTGCAGCCAATTAGGCCATTGATTGGTAGCGAAGATACTACTGTTGTTAATAATTTATCATTTTCTTTATCTACAAAACTAATTTCGGAATCAGTTTTGTCGGAATCAACTTTGCCGTCGCATTCTTTACTATTCATTTGACATTTGTCATCAACAGTTGTCGGTTCGGGCATTGAGGCCACTTGTTTATAGCCACACATACTTGACTTGCGCTCCGATATATTTGCCGAATAGTTTGCCGAATTGAAGTTAAAGTCAACGGTAAACTCAACGTTCGGATCGTTGGCGAACTGGTTTTTGAGGACTGGAAATACAATCGGCTCTTTGAACGTAATTTTGGTGGTCGGCCGCGACAAGTGTGGCAAATAGGCGGGCAATATCTCGATGGGAATCTTTTTCTTCGATGGATCGCTGACTAGATCTGTGGGCCAATTGTTGAGAACCGATGTGCGACATGTGCTGATAGTATCGAAACCGATTGGATAGGATTTGTTGTTGCATTGAGAGGACAAGTAGTTTTCAATCACTGTTGCGCCTGAATGCAGAACAGGCTGTATGACCGTATGCGACGCTGATATGGATGGCATGCGACCACCACTGGCCGGCTCGAGTGCCGTCAAGTGATTTGACTTAGATGTATAGTTTGGCGACGACTGGCCGGTCACTGGATGTGTTGGCTGTACCACTGATACCCTCCTAACTGAGTGCTCCTCTAATTAAATAAAAATAAAAAGATTAGTTTAAATTAGTTTTAAAAATTGATAATTTATTAAAATAATGCAAATAAATATATATAATAAATACCAAAACTACTACTAATAATAAAATATTATAAACTAATTTAAATAATAATGTATTAAATTATAAAATAAAATATTTTAAAGAATATCAACTTTACAGTTATGTAATATAAAACTTAATTTTTCAGTGCATTTAAGCTTCAGTTACTAAAAGCACTTAAAAACAAAAAATCTTTAATATTCACTAAAATTTTTTACTCCTCTTCGTCTGTATGTCTCTATTATTCATTAATATTAATAATAACTACTAAATAGTTTGTGTGTATGTAATAATAATTTGTTGTCTATATAATTATGTGTCATTTAATAATAGCTACAGTATATATATATACACACACATAACATAGATATATAATCATAACCACACATCCAATAAAACATCAAAATCACTGCCAAAGATAGATAGATATCAATCAGACATTTGGTCAAATCGTGGTTTTCAAGTGCGAGTTATTACTAAATATTTAAAAAATACTAAATAGTTATATAATTTCTGAGATAAAATAACGTCAGTATTATTAAGTCTCTATCTCTCTCTCTCTCTCTCTCTCTCTCTCTCTCTCTCTCTCTCTCTCTCTGTCTCCTCCTTTTTGGTTTGTCTAATACATGTATATGGAGTACATATACCTAATAGTCTTATTATGCCATACAGTCTTTCACCAGAGATATGGAATTTCCCATTTCTAGTCAAACATAATTATTGCTCATTAAGTCAATGAATGTAAATTTATTTATGTGTTTGAGTGAGTGTGTGAGTGAGTGAGAGAGAGAGAGAGAATATACCCTTTCCTGTCAGAAAAAAATATTAAAAAAAATCTAAATGACTAATAAATATATGATTAAATAACAAGTTTTTTTTTTGTAACACAATTGGCAAATAATTATTTTATTGTTCAGCAGATTTTTTTTGAAAATAAATTCAAGTTATTAATATACTTAATATACACAATATGTATAAATATTCTAAAAAAACTAAAAACAATACAGTATTTCTGCAATTTTACTAAAACTGTACGTATAGTTCATTTGGGAAAATTCTCTAATGAGAAATCTTGAATTATCTGGGATTTTATCGACAAATATTATTTTTTCATATTATATTTAGATATTTTTAAAGGGAAAATTCCATATATATATATATAAACTATATGTTCACGAGATAGACATCCCAAATATTATCATATATTTACTTTAAAATAGATTATGAAAAAAAGTTATGACAAAGAGATTCTCTCTCTCTCTCTCTCTCTCTCTCTCTCTTTCTCTCTGTATTTATATGGGATATCCTCCAGAAATATCGTACAGTTATTTTTTGAATTTAATTTTAGTTTAAAGTGAGAAAACCACCACTTGTTATATAATAGTGATTTTTATTATAACAAGAAATGTGTTTTTATATAAATATCTAAATCATAAGTGATTTGGAGGAGGAGGGAGGGAGGAATGGTGTGTGGGATCTTCATGAAAGTCATATAAAATAACCACAAAAAAGAAATTGATTACAAAATTAAGTGTAAGTCCTTCATAGAGTTGGCTGACATTATATTACATTTATATAAACACACAATCAGTCGTTTCTAAAAAAAAATTTCAAACAATTTTGCGTAATATTTATATTAAGGATAGATTTTCTGCTTAAACACATGCATATGGTTTCAATAAATTTATATATCGAGAGTTATAACTTATGTTATTTTTAACGCAAAAAAAGTTGAGGAAAAGCAGTTTTCATATGAAATGTTGTGTTTTTTTCGGGAAAACACTTGCATTTAACTGTCGGAGATTTGGGGGGTCGACAGTACTTTTGAGGAAATGCCTGAATCTACACAACCATATAGTTTTGTATAGACACCACTTGAAATAGAAATAATAAAATAAATATATATATGTATTATAAATAAAATTATTTTATTGTTAAAAATGTTTTTTAAAAATAAAAAACCGGAATATAAATCGAGAAATTTGCAGACATTTGTATACAAAACAGCGTATCAGACAAAAAAAAGTGTATTCACATTACAGACACAATTAATTTTATTTTATCTAAAAATACTCGGAAAACCTATTAAAAAAGTTTTTGAAAATATAAAGAAAAACAAAATCAAAGAAAAATATTTATAGAAAATTCAAATTATAATGAAAAAGCATTTTAAATTAGTAAAAGTATAGATATTTAATAATTTAATTGCATATTGAGGTCTAATTCACAATAATAATAATAATAAAATTTAACGCTAAATATACGTTTAAAATATTATATAAATGATTCAATAGTGCAGTATATATGGCTTTAATCTATTTTTTTAATTTAGCTTAAATTTAAGCATTATTTTTATTGCTATTCAAAAGTAAATATTATGAATATATTTTAATAGTTCAATTTTTTTGAAATAGCTATTCCCCACAAATTGTTTCAATAAAATTTTATATTCATTAGTTTGTATATATTTTATATACACTAAATAAATATAATGATAATAATAATTAAATAATAATTTTTAACATGTATAACCTAAGTGAGAATTTTAATTAAAAATTGTGGCAAAATATAATGCATTAATATAACATTTAACATTAAAATTTTTGTGTACAAAATCTTTTTAAAAAATACTTTTATATTAATTAATACACATTTTATGCAATTTTCGTTTACACGCCTTAAGGCTTTTTAAGGTTCAGTCAAAATATGGATATTTTATGACCAAAATAGTTGCCCTCACTATTTAATATATGTATAATTAATCTTGATAAACTAATCTTAAAACTTATAACATTGTATGTAATTGTGCGGATAGTTTTAATACACAACAATAATAAGCAAAAAATAAAATCATACGATAATCATAATAATTTTATTTTATCAATCTTTTCAAATACTATACATCCGTTATGTTATTTTTAAAAATCATAAAGTATTAGCTTTCATATGCCTGTATAGCACTGGGGGTATTGCCTAAAAAATATAGCTGTAAAACAACTAAACTTTTACTGAACTGTAAGTGTTTCCCAACATTTAATGATACAATATTTTATATGAAATATCAAGAAATATTTTTGTATAAATTGAAGAAATGATACAAAAACCAAGAAAGTCATCCAAATTTGAATATAAATAATATTTTTAAAAAATTTAAATTCAACAATTTCAAGACATTTAATTTCAATAGTGATCTCTACCTAAATTAAACAATTCAAATAAAATGATTTAAACTATATTGTGTTTATTCAAACACATTAATTATATTTAATCTCAGTTTTAAATAAAAAATAAATTGTCACAAACAAAAAACAAGTACTGTATTTGCTATTAAAATTGATAATTTCAAATTATACTAACATTAAATAATTTTTGTTTTGTTTTTTGCGGTTATGTATATATACAGTTAGAATACATGTATAACTTAATAAAAAAATAGTTTTTACATTAGTATAAAATGCATAAAAATAATTACAAATAAAAAAATATGTTAATAACTAAAAAACAGTAATAACTATAAAACTATAACACACGTTTTCACACCATTTAGCAAAACTAAGTTTATATTTAATGAGATCCTAAGGGGTACTCAAATACTGTCTAATCTATTAAAAACAAATTTAATAATAAATCAATTACTCCCATAATAAGTTTTCCTAAATTTATTTATATTTAATAAAATATTTTTTTTAAACGAGTGAATAAACTTATCTCATTTGCTACTAAAATATTTATTGAAAAAAACTAACAAAAAAACATAATACAAATAATCCTAAAAATATAAGAATATTATTATTATTGCTAAATAAAATCAAATAAACAACAAAACAAACTAAAAATAATGACTTTTATATTGAGTGCCAATATTACCATAAATCAGTTTCACAGAAATGAATTAATGGTGTCTACAGAAAAATACTCGTAAAGTTTCATTGAATAAAAAAAATAAATTGAATAAATTTTTGGCGAAACAACAAACATATAAATAAATAAAAACCTAATGTGTAAACAGTATCAGTATTTTTTTAAGCTATGCTATAATTATATTACAGTATTAGAGTTCAACGTTTAAATATATATATAAATATATAAATGTGTGACAAAATAATTTGTTTGGTAAACTTGCACTCAGTTTCTCCTCTAAATTGACGACAAACAACAACAACAAAACTCTTGGAAATTACTCATAAAAATATAATATATATATTTGTTTTTATTTTATATTATGTTATTATTTCTATTTGAACTCAATTCAAAATCTAACATTTAAATGACTCATATTTACTGCATATATATATATATACAGTATATATCATACAAACACATAATATCATTACAACATATATCATATATATGAGTAAATAGACATTTATTTTTGAAAACTCTCTCTCAATGACAAAATGTTTACAATATTTTTCTGTTTACAACAATTACTGTATTTGTATGTAATGTAAATCCTATTGTTTATAAACTTGAAGACAATTTGGAGCACTAAAAGTACGTACAAATATAAATAATATTTATAACTATTTATAACATCATTTTTAATATTAAATATATATATATTATTCATTCAAAGAGAAAATTAGATTCAATTTAATTGATCAAAAAAAAAATCAGGTGTTATAGAGTATAGCATTTGAATTTTTAAAATTTAAATTCAAAAATCCATTAAACCATTTTTGGAGTTTAAAAAACAGGAGAAACTGAAATAAAAACTGCGTTTAAAGTGTTTAAAAGTGAAAAAAGGGTTTCAATAGGCCAGTAGACAACACCTGTTCAAAAACCCTTTAATTATTACATAAATATTTTACTAATTAATCAGTATATTTGAGAAATAAAGCTTCATATGTGGCACCACAACAACAATTAAAAAAAGTCACATAAAATGGTTATATAATGATAACATGTTATTTGAGAGGGTTATGGGTTAAAGTACAAAGATTCAGAGATGATTGTTATGAAAATATTTTATTTTAAAAAATGATACGATTATCAAACAATAACTTATAGTAAATTATTATTATTAATAATAATTTTTTGGTTACATTTTCAACATTATATTTGCGTACTGAAAATTTCTGTGTCAATTAATTTCTAATAAATCCTAATTAAAACTTTTTTAAAAAATTCTTAGTCATCATTCAAACTACATCTACAATTAATTCAATGTATGTGTGTATGTGTTACTATATTTCAAAAATAATTTTTCTCATATCATTGTCATTACACAATTTAGCCAAACTATAGGCAAACACACATATATATATATATATATATATATATATATATATATATATATATATATATATATATATATATATATATATATATTATATACAGTACATATATCTCAATTGCCTGTTAATTGAGGTACTTTTATGTTATAGTTGTAACAACCAATGTACGATAAATTATTATATCATTAATACAATAAATAATAATAATATAATAAATGAGTTACATTAAATTTTATTAAAATTATTGCCAGTTTTAATACTATATACAACTATATACTCTCCTCTCTCTCTCGATAATTGTTTGCTATAATATTAAGATATTGATGCAATATTGTGTGATTACGAGGAAAGTCACTTCAATAATAAAAAATAATAAAAACTATGGTTTCAGGGGTTTCTCAACACAAAACACATGACACAAAAAATTTTTAGGCTCTTTAAATTTTGTATAGTAAAATAATTCAATAAAATAAAATAATAAAACAATATTTTCAAAAATTAAAATTTTTTAAAAATAGTGCATTAAATAAAGTGAAGGTCTTATTTATAAAAAAAAACATTAGATATTACTATTAGAAAATTTATTATTTCACATAAGACTATTGGAAATATCATGTGCTGACGTATTGTATAAAAAACTACCTCAACATTAGATATACAGTATTTGCTTTTTTTGAAATTATGCCATTTATGTGGTATTTTTCAAAAGTAGAAACCCTGGTTGTAATCATACACACACACACATAAAATACAATAAATTACCATGCTAAAATATAATAAACACGCATAAATTATAGTTTTAAGAAATTGATATATACTGTATATATAATCAAATTTAAATTATCAAAATTATTAAAACGTATAAATTTTTTTTGCTAAAAAAATAAAGAGTTGTTTACTGACCAATAATCTGGATGTCAGGCAATAAGTGATTATTATTACTACTTCTGAATACAGGTTCCGATATTTTGCGTTTCTTGAGTGGCGGTCCCTGATTAGGGGCTAACAGTTGTTGTTTAAGTATATTACCGATGGGAGGCATCGGCCCTCCAGTGGTTGAGTGCCTCTGTTGTGGCGATGATTGCTGCGAATGAAGTACTGACTGTCTGTTTTGGTGTGTATAGTGTTTGACGGGCGACATACCGAACCCGGGTCTGGCCATTACCGATACCTTTCGTTGAACTAAATTGTCGAGCTTTTGCTTCGTCGGACGGGTTATGGACATATCATCATTGCCTTTACAGTAGTGATACTGATGTACCTCCAGGTTCTCTTTGTTGCGAAAAGCAATATTACAAACAGTGCACACGTAGACCAACATTGTAGACTCGTGTTCGGTGGTCACCTGCGGTTGCGGTGCTGATGTAGTTGTTGTTGTTATTGTCTGCATTTCCGATTGCACCGGCTGTTGGTGTTGGCGACTCTTTTTCGCCTCGTCTCGACTCTTGAGCAATAAGTCTTTAATGATAGATCCTTCGGGATTCTGCGGATGTCCACCGCTGTTGGCTGGCGGCGACACTTTGCCCGGCGGTGACAGTTGTATTGGTGTTTTAGTGGTCAATAAGTTGCGTACAATTGATTCACTCGTAAAGTTGTGTTCACTATCATTACTATTTGTATTATTAATATTAATATTATTATTACAATTATTGTTTGTTTTTATTATATTATTATTTAAATTGAAATTATTTATATTATTATTATTTAAAACATTATTATTATTATTAGTGTCTTTTGCATTGATAATCACAGACTGTTGAGAGTGGTTCTCATGAGAGCTAAATTCTGAATATTTCCGCGTCGGCAACAAATTATTGGTCACTCCCGGTGTCGGCGCCTTTCCCAGTAGTGCCGACTGTAACTTAGATAGCGGTTGATTGCTATGCACTTCAGAGTAACGGCGATTATTGGCCGAACCGTTGGTTGTTATACAACTCAGTACCGATGATGTAGTGGTGATCGCTGTCGTCGGTAAACCATTTACCATACGACTGGTCAATGAGGACGTCGAGTTGCGTGCCGGCCATCGCTTGTGCCACAATGGATCCAGTGTCTCGACAATGGCCTCGTTTTCAGAGATTATTTTATTTATACGACTGATATGCTCTAAATTTTGGGCATTTGGCCGCAATAGGTTTGGATTCAAGTTTGCCAATCCTGAAGACGACAGCCCTGGCGGCGAAAATGTCAATATTTTTGGTGACACTATTGGTGCCAATGATGGCACCGTTGTCGTCGATATCTGCTGCTGATGATGATGTTGTGGCAACGGTGGCGATAAATGCGATAGCGATGTATTAATAGATAGCGGCCGTGATAGAGGAACTGGTGGTGGTGGCAGCGGCGGCGGCGGAAATGGCGACCTTAGTATGGAGTTTATACCGGAAGGCGCGACAAATACTGATTGCTTTCGCTGTGGAATAACAGCGGCAGTCTGTGGCACGTATTTAGATGGAACCGCCAGATGGTGGTCAGCCATCACTCTATTGCACGGTATGTTGTCTATGGTTAGCGGCGTTACGGGCATTGTATAGTAATAGTAGTGACTAACCGTTGCACTAACCGACGGTTTGGTGACGACACTAATAATAATAATAATATACACACCAATTGGCACATAACACCCCCACCACAATCAAACAATCAAATTGGCAAATAATAATGGATTAGCCAAACATTATTATATTGTGTCCACAATTATATATATATATATATATATTATTAATAGTCATCACTGGTTAGACATTTCTCTTCAATTGCACTCTTCTTGCATTTTAATGGCTCCTAATTTAAGACACTTCTTCTTCATCATCACTCTTGCAGTGTATGTGTGTGTATGTACTGACCATTCAATGATCAGATAATCCGGTGGTTAATACAGATGATGTCTAAATCAAATAAAAAAAACAAATAACTGTTAATAAGTTTTGATAATATATTATTATATGACTAATAAATATATTTCTATGATATATATATATATATATATATATATATATATACAGGCAGTCAAACATGTGATGTGACTCTCATTATAAAAGCCAATCAATTAATTCATTTATACAATCAATACGTGTAATGAAACAAACAAAACAAAAAAAAATTAAAAAACAAGTGTTTGTTTGTGTGGTGTCTCTATGCTATTGCTATTATCAATGAACTAATTTTCAAAAGTATATTATAATATGGATATTATAAATGCTATAATAATTGTAATAATGTTTTTTTCAACTAAAATCATACTAAATAAACAAAAATAAGAGATACATTTTTCGGGCACAAAATTATAATAATAAAAAAATAAATAAAATAATAACAGCAATCAAATAGAGTTAGTAAAGTAAATGTAAAAACAGTAATAATATGTACTGTAATAACAATAATACTATTAGTGTTTGTGGTTCATAACAATTATTATTATTATTATAAATAATTATTAATTTATATATGATATATGAGAGACACCAACCAAAAAAAACCACTACAACTATACAAACAAATAAATAATAAAAAAAAACATTGATTTGATTTGTCATATCATAAACTGTAGAAAATGCTTAATAATAATTTTTTTTCTTTACAATGATATATCATAGACTATTAAAATTATATTTATATAAACCAATAATTTTATAAGTTATATTTAGCATTTTTCAATAATAATAATAATTTAGCATTGATAATTTTTGTTTGTTTTGTTTCATATATGTAAAACATAATCATATAAAAATGTTAACTGAAAAAAAATATTTACCAAATTTTTTTATGAAACAAAAATTAATTAGTATAACCAACACTACAGTTTATTTACTATATTACTAAAAAAATGATATTATATATATACACTTGTTTATAATACCAACAATTATTTAATATTTTATTTATTATAATTATTATTATTATTGCAAACTGTACATGTAAACAAACAGCACATAAAAAGTGGACATGGTCATTTAATAATACACAGTAGTAGTTATAGTATAATAATAATGATTATTATTATTAATAAATAAAATTGTGTTGGCCCATTAATTGGTTATTATTATTATTATTATTACTGTATTATTATTTATTAAAATAATATATTGCAAACTATATCATAAATGAGAGCCCAGTTATATGTATGTATTTTTTTTAAGGGAAAACACTTGAATAGACAGACACACACACCAACTAAATTGAAACCATTGAATGCTGTTTGAAGACTGTGTGTATGTATATATGTGTGCACTACTGTATGCTTGTATTACTACTACTACAGTGTATTTAGATTTTGCAGCCAAATATGTTTTTCATATATAATAAAAAAAAACTTATTATTATTATTATTATTATAAAACAGTCACTATATTGAAAAAAAACTATATGAAAATGCAATGTATTTAGTGATTAACGTAAATGGGGTTAACTAATAGTAATCATTGCAATGCAATATACATGTATGTTATATTAGAGAGAGAGAGAGAGAGGGGGGAGAGAGAGCCTGTTTGTGAGCCATTTTGTGTTGACATACAACACACACACACACACACATACCAGACAACTATGACGTGTGTGGCGCCCATACCTACCAAAAACGCCATCTATTTTATATGTCTTACGTCTAACAGTGTCTGTCATTAAAATATTATTACTGTATTAAATGTATTACATGTGTGCTATGTTTTGGATGGTATAGCCTTGCCGTGTGGTGTGTGTGTTATGTACAGGTATTTCCAATGAAAAACACTTGCTGTCTCATACTTGCATACAGTTGAACACCAAGTATAGTGTACGCAACATTCAAATGTATATATTAATAATATTCACATGATTTAATAAGATTTAATAACTACAGTATATTATATATGCAATTAAATTATACTTTGTTTTGTTTTTGTTGAAAATATTTTATTTATACACTATTTAAATATAAATAATATTAAATTATCATTTAATTATGTGCCCAATATATTTATTTATACTAGATTATAATTTATAATAATTATGTTAGCTATGTAGTAATATTTTTAATTATTAATTTTTCTATGTATAATATGTAATACTATGCATACATACATGTGTCATGATTGTGCACAATACTAACCAGGCTACAATTGTACCAATTTTTTATGCTAGTTCAATAAAACTTTTAATATTAAATTTATAGTAAAAGAGAGAGAGAGAGAGAGAGAGAGAGAGAGAGAGAGAGAGAGAGAGAGAGAGAGAGAGAGAGCATGAGATCGCTTCAAGATTTTTTTAGGGAAATCATAGGGAAATCGTAATAACCTCTAGTTTTTTGGCGTATAATACCGTTCTCAGCGATTGCTTATCACACACACACACGACATGCATTGAGCACATGATTTGATTGTCGCATATATATTGTGCTAAAAAGATTTAATACAGAAAAGAGAGAAAAAAACGCGTTTAATATATGAATTATATTTATATTATAATAAATAATTGAGTTTTTCATCAAAAAATGCCAAATGACTTCTTAACCCACATTAAGTACAAATCGTATGAATATATAATATTATATAAATACAGTTCATATATTAGGTATACAGTATGTAATACTTGTATATATCATATATAATTTTTATACTGTATATAAAATATTTAAATGTTAATTATTAACAATATTTATGTATACAGTCAGCTCTCTATGAATAAGTATTAAACTATTATAATTGTATAAATTTTTATGATTATTTTTAATGTACTGATGTAAGTACTGTATGCATACACACAGACACAGACACACACACACACACACACACAATATTATGTAATAATTTTTTAAATAAAAAAGTTTACTATATGTAAGTGATTTAAAGCATTAATATATATGTGATATGAAAGTGTGTTGAGATGTCAATTCAATGTCAAATTTATTTATAAAAAGGCCAACCGTTTTGTTTCTGACAAATATATAAAAAACTTATTATACAATACTGTATAATATTTATATATATATAAAAAGTTGCTTAAAATAATTAGTTGAACTATTTATTTATTTCTTATTTATTTTTATACTGAATATTTTTAAATTAATTTGAAATTTTAGGGAATGAATTAGTCAAAAAAGTTTTGACTATTTTTTTTATATAAGGATATAATGAAAATACACTGCATATTATAACTGTGTAAAAATTATATATTAATTTGAAATTTTTATTTAATTTTTGATACTATCAAAATAATTGATGAACTATCAATAATTTCTAATCAAATCTATGTTTAATAGTCAATAAATAATATTTTTTGACTTATGATAATTTAGTTGTTGTTGTTGGTTAGTTATCAGATTTATTTATGTATTATCGACAAAAATTGATTAAAAAATAGTTAAGTAAAGATAAAATTTAATCGTTATAAACAAACCAAATTCAATATTTAAATTATGGACAACAATTTATATACTATATATATATATATATATATATATATATATAAAGTATTGATAATTAGCGTCAATATCTATTGATATATAATAATAACTAATTGAATGGTAAATTGGGTCCAAAGTGTACGTAAGTTTGATGCCTAAAGTAATGATCAAATATTAGCTCAAAGTCCAAGTCGTGACACATCTCGTGCTTTTCACGTACTGACTGTACGCGACGTTTTCATTGATTAGATAAACACTTAATATCATTAATTTATTGCTTATATACTATATTATAATTTACTGTATTTGATACTACAATATATTCTATATTATATATTTCAGTATTCAATATATCTATTTACTGATAATCATATCCGTCTAATATTATATTGTATTATATTGTATGAAATGTAGTATTAGATACAATATAAATATATTAAGTTATAAAAATTAATATGAATTTATATATAAATATAATATTGACGTTTCGGTTCAAAAGTTAATTTCAGTCCAAACTAACAGTTCAAAAGCACAATATAATATACTTTAATGCAGTTTATAAAAGTGTTGATAATTTGCTCTCTCTCTCTCTCTCTCTCTCTTAAATCAATGTAGTATTTATTTAGTGATACATACAATATAAATTTATACTGTATAATATTAACTTGTATACTAAATATTAAAAACACTGAATAATTATCTAAAACATATTTATTAATTTTCCCTATGAATAATTGTTTAATAATTTTAATGATAGTGATAAATACAGTACTAAAAAGTAGTAGTTTGGGTGCTAACTGTTGGTTAGTGGTTAGGGTAAATTATAGCCTATTGGTATAACCTTCTATCATATGATCTTTAAAATGACAGATCATTTGGATAAATCAATGAAATCATTTATAATTGAAATATTTTGCAATAATTAGCCAATAAAATAGTATAATTTATAAAAAACTAATCAAAATTATAATTGATTTAACTAACAAATTATTAGTGACACTTTGAGGATTTCCCCTATAATTATTATAGTTAAAGAATGTAGAACCCCCTCCCCTTCCATTAAATACCGAGGGTTAATATCAATATAGATACTATATATATATAAACTGTACTATAGATAAACATATAAATAAATATACTGTACATTGTAT